TTGACCGGCGTGCAACGACACGTGGCATCGTGTCCCACCTGCCAGGTCATGAATTTATCACGGAAGCGGCCGGCAGGGCAATTGCAGCCGATACCACCCCCAGAGCGTGCTTGGCAGCAGGTGACGATGAAATTCGTCACGGTGTTACCGGCGGGTGCAAGTGGGAACGACGCGATCCTGGTCGTCGTCGATCGATTGACGAAAATGGCACACTTCGCAGCCTGCAAGAAATCAATCACAGCCGAAGAAACGGCCCGCCTCTTCATCGCAACCATTGTTCGATTACACGGGATACCAGCAGCGATAATCAACGACCGCGATACGAAGTTTACCATCAATTTCTGGCGGAACCTATGGCAGCAGTTCGGCACGAGGCTGCAGTTCAGTTCTTCGTACCACCCCGAAACCGACGGACAGACAAAACGGACAAACCAGACCATGGAACAGTTAATCCGAGCCACGTGCGACGACCCCACCACCTGGGAGCAGCAACTGCCACTAATCGAATTTGGGTACAACAAGTCGCCATCCGCCACGACCCAACAGTCACCATTTTGCCTGAACTACGGACAAGACCCTACAGTACCCATGACCCCGAATCCCGACAACCCGGTGCCACGGGCACAACAGTTCGCAGAAGTCCTACAGGAAGCACGGACAAGGGCAGCCGACGCATTTAAAGAAGCGAACGTTATCGCTAAACGCAACGCCGACCGCCACCGCCGACCCATCACTTACCAACCCGACGATTTGGTTCTACTCGACACTCAAAACCTCCGCCTGCCCATAACTCCGAAACTCCGCCCCCGATATTGTGGGCCATTTCGCATCAGCCACATGATCACACCGGTCACCGCCCACCTCCTCCTCCCCGCTGACTGGTACGTCAGCCCCTCCTTCCACGTCAGCCTGCTTCGCCCCTACATTCCATCCACCAGCCAACTGGCCCGACATCGCCCAGCCAGCATGACCCGACCACTGACCGAGCCAGTCATCACGCCCGAAAAGATTATGAGCCACCGAGTTCGTGACCCACGAGGAGCCCGAAGGGTCAAAATTTTAATACGCTGGAGAGACCGCACGCCCACCGAGGACAACTGGGTTCCCCTGGACAAAATCGAAAACCACCCCGTCCTCAACGAGTACTTGCGCAGCAGAAATTTCCGGGATATACACGCGCTCTCGTAAGAGAGGCCTCCTTGAGGGGGGGGGGGGGGGGGGGGGGTTAGTGTAAGGAAAATTCCTTTTCCTTACTTCGCGTCCCTGCTCAGCGCGTACAACACTGACAGCACCCCACAATATTCCGTTACCACTCGTGACATTCGCCTCGACACCATTCCCGCCACTGTTCACGATGCGACCCAACCTCACGGTTCGGTTGGTAACCCGCGCTCCGGACCTCCGCCTCGACAGTTCCCCAAACCTCGGCATTAGGCCCGTCGCGCACCCCATTTTCCCACGTTACCGTTACCACCGTAGTTTCGCTATATATTCTTCGCTCATTCCTTCGCTCATTGTATTCTTGTCTCGATAGTGCAATCCTCGCTCGCTCACTCAATTGCACTCGTAACAGCTTTAGTATATATGTAGGTTCGTTGTTGCGGACATCACATGATGCATTCGTTGCCACGTGAACTTTACGTACTCCCGAGTTATTGACAAACACTCGCCCCACCAGGACCCTACACCCCTATTAGTTCCAAACGTTGCACTACGCGGGACAGATGGGTGACTCCCTGTGATCGGAGATGACAGATGCGGTACTGTAAGGAAGATGGGCTCAGGTTTTGTTTTCGAGTGTTCTCCGCGCGTGTACATGTAGAGCTACTAGAGGCTTCTGAAAATGTTTCCAGCCCCTGCTACCCTCTCTTAAAGCCCGCGTCCCAAATTGCGGGCCGCGAGGGTCAAGTTTTTAAAACTTGACGAAGTTGAGTGTCCAAGCTTTTGAAAGTCACGCACTTGCAATTTGGGACTTTCGAAGACAGATTCACTCACCAGGGGGAAAACCGAGGGTTGGCTGGGTCTCGCGAAAAAAACGAACCTAGACGAAATCGGAAACTCTCGCCAAAGCCCACACCAGAAAAACTCCCTCTGGTCAACTTTTAAAAGCATGAACAATTTGGGCCGCCGGCTTTAAGTCCTCCACATTCACATCCTCCTGCCCCAGCAAAGCACCAGTGCCATTTGAAATCGTGTATGGTCTGAATTGGACTCAGGGAGAGGTTCCATGGCAAACTAAAGTGTCGATAGTGAACGTTTTGAATGTACATCGCAGTGTATTAGCACTTTCCCAGAGCTGGGGAATATGGAAAAGCATGTTATCGAAAGGTGATTTGGTGTGGGAGACTGACCAAATGCCCTGGCTTCGATGGTGAAACCCGAGAAGCAAGGGCAGCTTTGGGATCAAGGCCTGGCCGGTTCGCCTCAAACCCATCAACAAAACCACACAACTACCTGCGCACGCGGGGAGGAAGCTTGATTACAGTACACGTCGTTGTATGCGATCTGATACGACGTCATTAACGGCGGGCGAAGCTGTTCCGAAAAATCAGGCCCACACGGGGAACGCTGAGGTGGCTGCCCTTCGGTTTGGGCTTGGCTTGGATTGGCCAGAGCAGGTCTGTAGTTGCGGGGCTAAGCTGCGGGAGCTCGGCTTGTCTGCTGGTTCAGCTCCTCTTTGAACAATCTGTTGTTGGCAATTGCGGTGTGGATTTGGAAGTCAGCCAGACAGGCACACGCAGCGAGCGGCACTGTCGGTGAAGACAGCAGCGCTCTGGCGGTGCCTAACTAATGGAATAAGCACTGGTGATGATGCAAGGCCAACTGAGGCACTAGTTCTCACACGTGGATTCACCTCTGTTATGTGAGACAATATTCCAAAGGCGGTGTATTTTCTAATTTGTCTATTCCAAAGGCGGTGTATTTTCTAATTTGTCATGCGATTGGAGTATTTTGTGAGAGCGGTAGGGTTGATGTTTGCTGTTTTTTTGTGTTTCTGAACGGAATATCCCAGCGGAAATGGGTCGTCAAGCCTGACGACCCATTGACGACTTGACGACATGCTGCCCCATCAACCCTAAATCCATGCCTCCCTGTGTTTAGTTCTGATGTCTCCCTGACCGGATGCATGCCCGAATCGGTTTATTTGTTTTTGCCCGCGGGCAGACAGCTCCCCCGGGCGGACTCGCTTGTCCGCTGAGATATATTCGGAGGGAAATCTCGAGCATCATCCTTGCAAATGCTCCCTGTCGTCAAATGCAACCTGTCATGCCATCCGATAGGGTTTTAGTTTTTTTTGAGGCAGCATGTCGTCAAGTCGTCAATGGGTCGTCAGGCTTGACGACCCAAGTTTTTTCTGCCCGAGGCAGCATGTCTTCAAGTCGTCAATGGGTCGTAAAAAAAAAAAAACCCATTCGGGCATGCATCCGGTCAGGGAGGCATCAACCTTAAACACAGGGAGGCGTGGATTTAGGGTTGATGCCTCCCTCGGATGGCATGCCATCCAATAGGGATTTAGTTTTTTTTTTTCTGTCCGGGGCAGCATGTCGTCAAGTCGTCTATGGGTCATCAGGCTTGACGACCCATTTCTGATGGGATATTCCTCGGGAGGGTATAAAGAGGTTCTGCTTTGGCGCATCCTGATACAAGCCACTGAGACTCCGAGCCAAGTCTGTGAAGCTTCTTTCGCAGATTAGGTAGAACCTTGAGTCCTCCCAAACGTCGTCCTCGAATGAATCTCCTTCGCAGACACCTCAGCTCTTCCACGCAAGCACGCACTACCGTTCTCTAGACTAATCTGTGAGGTGTGCGTTTTTTTTGCTGGAACTGAGAAAGGTCCTATTTGCGGTACCCCATTCAGCCGCGATATTTACTAAGTGCATTACTTGCAATCTCTTAGTGAACCCCGATTTTATCATACGTCCTAAATATTATACCGTAAGAGTACCCTGCATTTGACGTTAGTCCAATTCCTCCGATTCAGCCAATAACCTTTCAATCTAAACAATAACCGTCCGATTCGGCCATTAGCCCTGCCAATAATCGTCCGATTCAGCCATGGTGTCCTGGTGGATGCCTGCGTTGATAGCCTGGACTCTCGGGTGGTTAGCTCTCTCCATCTTCGTAATATGGTCCACGCGAAAGGCGGCGCTCGATCCGCTAAATTCGGACCTCACGTCATGGTGCCTCGCGCGCGTGCGATACCTGGATCAAGAAATCGCGTCGAACTTGAACCACGCTGAGGTGCGTGTGACAGATCTCTCGTTAGGTCACTACATGAGCTCATTCGCCGCGTACGGCGCACGCGCGCGCGCGCGCGTGTGGGGTTTCGTAGACCTATCTTGCCTGCTATGCTGCCGCGTGTTCTGTTTTTTGCGTTTCCATCTCGCTATCACAGATGATAGGATAATAAGATTCTTGTCCTAAGCTGCCCCCGTGTTTTAGGTCGGCTGGAAGCAAGATCTGTAAGCTACATTACGTGGAATCTTATGCGACCTTTCGCGTCCTTCACGCCCTCCCGCGTGCATCGTGTTCCCTCTCCTCCCCGCGTGCGCGTCGGTTTCTTCCCCTCGTCTCCACCGCGTCTTGAAGTGTTTCCCCGGATTTACCCCTAGACATTCGTCCTCTCCGCGCATTCCCCGCATTCCCCGCATTCACCACGTTCCCCGTGCTCCCCGCGTTCCCCGCATCCCCCGCATCAGCCGCATCCCCCGCATCCCCCCAATGCCCCTTGATCCTGTGGAGCTCATCAGGGTATGGCTTCGGCCCGAAGGACACCATTGAGTCGACCTGCGTATCCCCCGCATTCCCACAATGCCCTGCGTTCTCTGCTCCTTCCGCTCTCCCCCACCTCCTATCCCCCCCCCCAACTCCCGCCCCGATTTCCGGCGTTCCCCGCACTCCTCCCCCCGCCCCCCCCCCCCCCCCCCCCCCACCTCAAACTCCCCCCTCCTCCCTCCCCCCCGGCGCGCAGGTGAACGTGGGGCTGATAAAGTTGTTCAATGGGTTCGGCCCCGTACACGGGGGTACACGGGGTGCCTCAACAACCTTTCCTCGTACTCCGCGCATCCCCCGCATTCCCCGCGTCCCCACCCCCTTCCCCACTCCTCCCCACTCTCTCCCCCCCCTTCCCCCTCCCCCTATCACCCCTCCCCCCCCCCCCCCCCCCCCTCCCGACTCCCCCTCCTCCTTCTCCCCCCTCCCCCCCCGGCGCGCAGGTGAACGTGGGGCTGATCAAGGTGTTCAACGGGTTCGGCCCCAAGGCGCCGGACCTGGCGTACTGGGGGTACACGGGGTGCCTCAACAACCACTCCTGGATCAAATACGCCGAAGAAACGCAGTACGCCAAGCCCTGGATGACCAACGCCTGGCTCGCCTTCGTTGACGGTCAGGACAGGTGCGTCTCAATGGGGTTGTGTATTTAAATTGATTCATATATACCTATTATATATTTGTATTTATGTATAAAGAGTTTGCAGTACGCCATGCGTTGGATGACCGTCGCCGACAGCCAGGGCAGGTGCGTGGTAAAAGGAAGGCATGTGCACGGCGGTCAGGAGATACAGTCTCACGGCCCAACTCCTCCCTCTCCTCGCTTCCTCCCCTCCCTCCCCTCGCTCCCCTCTCCCTCCTCCCTCCCCGCTCTCCCCCCCCCCCCCTCCCCCCAACACTCTCTTCTCTTCCCCCCAGGCCGATGATAGAGAAGTCGCTGGGGTGCGAGTTTCAGAGCATCAACAGCTTGGAAGCGAAAGTGAGCGCGCGAAAGGACTGCTACGTGGTGAACCTCTTCCAGTTCAGCCCATTCTTCAACTGGCCACAGTGCACCGACTACTCCGATCGCTTTGGCGAGGGGTGCAGCAACCTCAACACCAAGTGGAAGAGCCGCGGCAGCCCGCCGTACCGCTTCCGAAACGGCCACATCGGATTCAGTGAGTTGGAGGAGGCTGGGATCGGGTTCAAGAAGTGGGCGGCTGGGTTTAGGTTCAGTGAGTTTGGGGCTGGTGTCTGTCTGGTGGCTTGGGGTTGGCTTAGGGCAGTGGGAAATGGGCTCGATGGCTTGGCAGGCTGGGTTTGGCAGCGTGGAGGATTGGGTTGGTGGGAAGGTGATCGGAGGGTAGGGTGCGAGGAGCGCTTGGGGAGTAGCAAGGAGGGGTGATGGTTGTGCCCATGTCCTCCTGGGATTTTTCCCTCCATTGATTGAGAGTCTAGTCTGCTCTTTGTCCGTGCTTCTTGTGGTCCCTTGCTAGATGTGTGTGTGTGTGTGTTTGTGTGTGTGTGTTTGTGTGTGTGTGTGTGTGTGTGTGCGTCTGTGTGTGTGTGTGTGTGTGTGCGCGTGCATGTGCGTGCGTGCATCTACATATCAACAGGTTTTGGCATTCCAGTGTTGCGTCACCCAATCAACGACGACGCCACGTCAGCAGAGGTGCTGGCAGCGCTGGCAGGTTTCTTGGCGCCCGGCATCGATGTGGAGGCGCTAATCAAACACACACTCTTCTCTGTACTCGATACAGGTACGACTCGATACAGGTATGTTGTGGTGTACTCGATACAGGTACGTTGAGTGTACTCGTTACAGGTACGATGTGTTGCGGGAATGCTGCCCGTGTAGTGCCACCAAACGGTGTGCGTGCTGCTCGTCCTGCCTAGTCACACTACAGTCCACAGATTCTTTCCTCCCCTTACTCCCCTTGACCATCTATGACGTCACCAACCCCTTGACATGTCTCCTTCCACTTCATTAATCTCAACTCGTCCTTCCTGCCACTCCCCCTCCCTCCCCCTTCCCTCCCCCTTCCCTCCCCCTTCCTTCCCACCTTCCCTCCTTCCTGACAAGGTCGTTCAGCCCTTCCCAGACGCTACGAGGGCCACTGCCGCTACCCCTCTGGAGCTCCTTTTCCCGTCTGACACCCTCCCTCCCTTCCCTTTCCCACTTCCCTCTCCCCCCACCCTTAGTATCTCCCCGCTCCCCCAGGCAACTCGACCGCCATGTCCTTCACAATGTATGACATCACGAACGCGTCCAACCCGCTGATGGTCTTCGGCGACTCGCAGCCCGCCACGGGCAGCAACCCCATCTACCCCATGGTGCTGCCCACGCCCATCCCCCTGGGCGACAAGGTCGATCAGCCCTTCCCCGACGACTTCATCGGCCTGCCATTTTCCCATCTCACGCACTCCTTTTCCCCCCTCCCTCCCCCTCCGCCTTCCTCTCCCCCTGCCCCCTCCCCGTCTCCCCCACTTCCCCCCAGGCAACTCGACCGCCATTTCCTTCACCATGTATGACGTCACCAACTCCTCAAATCCCCTCATGGTGTTCGGGGACACACAGCCCGCCACGGGCAGTAACCCCATCTACCCCATGGTGCTGCCCGCGCCCATCCCCCCGGGCGACAAGGTCGTGCAGCCCTTCCCCGACGACTTCATCGGCCGCCGCTACGAAGGCCACTGCCGCTACCGCCACCCTCCCCCCGTCTGGGGGACACTGTTTGCTCCCATGCTCCTTGGGCTTCTGGTGCTGCTTGTCGCGGTGCTGCTGACGTTTATCATAGTGTCGCTGGCGAGGAAGAAGGCGCGGATTCGGCAGCAGATGGCGGAGGTGGAAGAGTATACGCTCGCGTTGGAGCAGGCGGAGAGGTCGAAGAGCGAGTTTGTCGCGAACCTGTCGCATGAACTGAGGACGCCTATAACGGGGATGTTAGGGATGATGGACTGGCTGCTGGAGTCGAGCCTGTCGGAGTGGCAGCACCGGGACCTGCTGGATGCAAAGATGTGTGCCGTGGAGGCCATTGGGCTGCTCAATAGCGTTCTGGATCTGGCCAAGCTTCAGGTGGGTCTTTGGGGCTGGGGGAAACAAGGCGGGGCCAGGGGCACCCACTACCACCCACTCGCACGCACCCACTCGCACCCACTTGCATCCGAACGAATCTTCTTTTTTCGACTGCTCCCCTTACGCCACCGCTCCTCTTGTCCCAGTACTCCATTCCCCACCACTCCCCTTCCCCACCCCCACGACTCCCCACCACGCCAGGCCAACCGCTTGGTGCTGGAGGCCTTTCCGTTCAGTCCGCACCAGTGTGCTGATCTGGCCGTGCGCGCCCTCATGCCCGACGCGCACAAGAAGAACCTCCAGTGTGAGACTTTCATGAACCTGCTCCTTTTTAAAGAGTCTCCAAAATCGCTCAAAATTGTGGGGAAAAAAAAGGAGAAGAAGAAGAAGAAAAAGAAACGGAAAAAAACCGCACAGCATCCGTTCCTCATTTCTACCGCCCCTTAACCTTCCCTCCCTCTTCTCCCTCCCTCTTCTCCCTCCCTCTTCTCCCTCCCTCTTCTCCCTCCCTCTTCCCCCTCCCTCTTGCAGTCATGGTCAGGATGCATGCGAGTGTGCCCGACGTACTGATAGGCGACCCCACCCGCGTGGGCCAAGTCATGCGCGAGCTCATCAGTGAGTGCATCTGAACCTGAATCGCTCTCCCACACACACCACTTGCTCCGTTGTTCTGCTCTATTCAAAATTCGTCTCATACCTCCAGTCCAGTGTGACTGTGTGAGTCCCACACGACCCCCCCCCCCCCCCAGGCTAAATGTAATTTTTGAGAATTCTCATAAAAACGAGTCCAGTGTGAGTCCCACACGACCCCACTCTGGCAGAGCAAGTCCTTCTGCATGAGGCTATGCGCTCACCACCAGTGAATGCATATTCATTCTTCGTACTCGTGCCTGCTCCGTTATTGCGCTTCCGCCCTTTTTTTGTGACTTCGCTCTGACCCTTCTGCCTGAAATTCCACTTTTTTTCCACCCGCTGCTCCCTTGTCTCCTCTCCTTCCACTTCCCCCCTCCCGCCTCCCCTCCCCCGTGCCCTTTCCCCCCTCCCCCCACCCACACCCTGCTCCCTCACATCAACCCATCCAGGCCACACCATTCGCAACACCGTGTCAGGCGGGGTAATCCTTCACCTCTGGCTCTGGTTGCTCACTGCCCCCTTCTCCTCCCGACCCCCACTTCACCCCACCCCACCCCACTCCACTCCTTCCCCCCATCCAGGCCACGCCATCCGCAACACAGTGTCAGGCCGGGTAATCCTCCACCTCTGGTGTGTGCCCGCTCCCGTGCCTGTCCAAGCCATTGCCGAGGCTGCCGAACCTGACCTGGAGGCCTGGATCCAAGGCTTGGAGGTCCGGGGAGAGGCCAAGGAAATCGAAGGAGGCGTATATGGTGGTAAAGTGGCTGCTGCTGCAAACGAGGATACTCATATTGAGTATGAACGGCAACGGGAGGAACTACTGGCTCGGATGAAGAGGAGTGGCAGTGCTGAATGCTGTGGTGCTGCTGCTAGGGATGCTGGTGGTGACGATAGTTCTAGCAGTGAGGATGCTGCTAATGGTCCTGCTGCTGCTCGTGGCATTGGCTGTTTTGGCTCGAGGCAGAGCAGTGGGCGGGAGATGGGCGGCAGCGGGCGGAATATGGGCGGCAGGAACGGATCATTAAATGACTGCTGCGAAGCGAGCTTCAGATACAGCCTGGCCCAGGTACTTCAGATACAGCCTGGCCCAGGTACTTCAGATACAGCCTGTCCCAGGTACTTCAGATACAGCCTGTCCCAGGTACTTCAGATACAGCCTGTCCCAGGTACTTCAGATACAGCCTCCCCCAAGTGCTCAATGCTAACCAGTTCTACCTTCCGCCTGCTTTTTTCCTCCCCAACTCACCCCGCCTCCCACTTCTCTATCCCTCTCCCCTGCAGAATGATCCTCGGTTTTCCGACTTGCCAGTAGCAGGAGTCATGGGCTCCTGTACCCAACCACACCCCAGTCAACCGAGTCAACCTGGTCAGCCTGGTCAACCTGGTCAACCCGGTCAACCCGGTCAACCTGGCCAACCCAGTCAACCCAGTCATGGCAACGAGTCTGACTCATTCCCCGAGCCTGAGCCCTGGATGCTTCACCCGCCCATCCCACACCCACTCACCGCCGAGGCTTGCCGCGAGGTTCGGCGGACGGCAGCTCGGTTCTGCCAACCCATGATCTTTGCTTCGGCAGTTTCTGAGTCGGACGGGGAAGAGGAGGAGGGGGGAGGTGGAGGGAGAGGGGGAGGCGGGGGAGGGGTGGTGACCGGGGGAACAGGGCAGAGAAGCGAGGAGGGGCAGGGGAGGAGGAGGAGGGGGAGGAGGAGACGCGTGGGGCGGGTGCAGTTGGTGATGGCGTGTGAGGATACAGGGTGTGGCATTCCGTGGGAGGAGATGCGGTGGGTGCTGGACCCTGAAGGCCACGGGGAGTTTGTGCAAGAGGAGGAGGTGAGTGGCAGCATGGGTTCTTGTGACGTCTCACCACTGCTTTCACTTCTTTCCGCCCCACGCTCCCTCCTTATCCCTGCTGCCTCCGTACCGTTCCGTTTCATTTCCCCCTTTCCTGCTTCCCTCCTCCCCCTTACCCCCCTTCCCCCTTTCTGTGCGCCAGATAAAGGATTCAAACTTTTGAGGCGCCTCAACAGTCTCCTCCTCCTCCACTCCTCATCCCTTCCCCCCCCCTCTTCTTCACCCGTTGTCTCTGTCTCAGATGAATGCATACATCCAGTCAGCCGGTGCTGGAAGCAGCACCAGCGCCAGCGCCAACACACATACGCCCAATGAGCACGCTCCCCCCCCCATCGCGCTCTCTCTCCTGACCACGCTGCCTGGGAGGCTGCTCAAGAGAGTGATGGGCGCAGGGGGAGGTGACAGTGCGTCGGGGAAATCACGCGGAGGGAAGGGGTTTCAGGACGCGTGGACGCCGTACCCTGTGCGCTTCCTGCTGTCTGCCAGCCTGGTGAGTGACGGGGGTGGATGAAAATGGGGGGTAGAAGGAGGGCAGATGCGGGTACATCCTGAGAGATACCTGCTGAGGGGTTTCAGGATGCGTGGACGCCGTACCCCGTGCGGTTCCTGCTGTCTGCCAGCCTGGTGAGTGACAAAGGTGGGTTCCTGCTGTTTGCGAGTCTGGTGAGCGCTGGGGTTGAGGGAAAAGTGAGGAAGTGAAGGTAACGGATGGGAAAGCAGGTTGAAAGAGACAGCAGTCCTGACTCTCCCTGCCGCCCCCCTTTTTCCCCTCCCCATCTCTCCTTCTCCCATGATCCCAGGTGAGCCTCATGTGCGGGTGCATGGGCGTGGCCACACAGGATTGTAAATCTATTGCAACTAATACAAATATTTCCTTCTCTTTCTGCTCTTTTATCCTCCCAGGTGAGCCTCATGCGCGGGTGCAATGGGCGTGGCCACACAGGATTGTAAATCTATTGCAACTAATACAAATATTTCCTTCTCTTTCTGCTCTTTTATCCTCCCAGGTGAGCCTCATGCGCGGATGCATGGGCGTGGCCACACAGGAGCACGTGGGCTCCACCATCATGGTCTCCGTGCCAATGAAAACGCGCCACGTGGCACCACCCACAGCAGCAGCAGAGGACGGGGAGGACGACGTGGGAGAGGAGGATGGAGAGGAGGAATGGGAGGAAAAGGAAGAGGGGGAGTGGGAGGAGGAGGGAATGGAGGAGGCTTTGGCATGGGTGGAGATGAAGTGGGGCACGAGGGAGGTGGTGGAGGGGAGGAGAGCACTCGTGGTGGATGGGGATGACGCAAGGGCAGAGGTGAGTGAGAGAAGCAAGGGCGGAGGGACAGAGGTGAGGTTTTCTAAAAGAAAAGTCGCAAGTACTGTTACGTCTTGTAACTGTTGCACCTTCCAGCTCCATTGTAGCCTCCCCTCCCGCTTCCTCTCGTCTTCCTTCTCCTGCCCCGGCCACAGTCACAACCCTTTCATTACCTAGGCACGAGTGCTGCTGTCGCAGGCACGCTCAGCCTCACTTCATCTACTCTCCTCTCCTCCATCTCACCCCACCCTCTCTTTCCCTCCATCCCTCTCCCGCCAACTGCTCTCCTCCTCCCTCCTCCCTCACACAGGCCACAGTCACAGCCCTTAGGTACCTGGGCATGCAAGCAGCAGTCGTTGGCACACAAGAGGAAGCCACTCGGACGATTCTGGGAAGGCAGCCGGAAGCTGCGTGGCGGTTTGCAGAGAAGAGGATGGGGGAGGCGAGGAGGAGGGCGAAGAGGGGGAAGGGGAGGGAGGAGGGAGCGGGGGAGGGGAATGGGGAGGGGGAGGCGAAGGGGGAGGAAGTGGGGCAGAGGGACGAAAAGGGAGAAAGCAAGGTGGAGGGGGAGAGGAAGGAGGAAGCAGAGAAGAATGAGCAGGAAGAGCAGGCAGAACAGGTGGAGCAGGAGGAGCAGGAGGAGCAGGAAGAAGAAAAAGTGGATGAGATGGAGGGCCCATGGGACGTTGTGTTTGTAGAAGCAGATGCGTTCAACAGCGGGGTTACCTCCAAGCCTAGGGGTAGCATCACCGATGCTGGGGCTCAGAGCAAGCCCGGGAACGGGAACGGCTCAGATGCTGTGGCAGGGAAGTCGGGGATCGGTTTCGGCCGTCGGATCAAGTTTGACCACCGCAGCCTTGTTCTCTTCCACTCCGCCAGTGCTGCTGCTCGTGCTCCCGGTTCCCCACCCTCTCCTGCCTTACTCCCTCACACCTCTTTCCCTCACACTGCGGGGCTATCTCATGCGCCCGACAGTGTTATCACATCATCAGTGTCGTCTGCAGCAGCAGCACCATTACCACCAACATCGTCAGCATCACCGCTACCATCGCCACCACCATCACCCCCGCGGCCACCTCCTGTGCCGTGCAGTCTCCCCCCGCTCGTGCTCACAGGGCCGGGCTGCGCGGGTGTGAGCTACGCCAGGGCGCTCGCAGCAGGCTTTGCGGATACACTCCCCCAGCCATGCCTTGTGGCCGACCTCGCTCAGTGCTTGCACGCGGTGAGTGGTTTCACTGGTAATTAGCCAATGCCACGCTTGGGCTGTGCGAGTGTGAGCTATGCCAGGGCCCTCGCAGCAGGCTTTGCCGACACGCTCCCCCAGCCCTGCCTCGTGGCCGACCTCGCTCAGTGCCTGCACGCGGTGAGTGGTTTCACTGGTAATTAGCCAATGCCACGCTTGGGCTGTGCGAGTGTGAGCTATGCCAGGGCCCTCGCAGCAGGCTTTGCCGACACGCTCCCCCAGCCCTGCCTCGTGGCCGACCTCGCTCAGTGCCTGCACGCGGTGAGTGGTTTCACTGGTAATTAGCCAATGCCACGCTTGGGCTGTGCGAGTGTGAGCTATGCCAGGGCCCTCGCAGCAGGCTTTGCCGACACGCTCCCCCAGCCCTGCCTTGTGGCCGACCTCGCTCAGTGCCTGCACGCGGTGAGTCCCTTGCTGCCCTGAGTGCCTTGATGTGGTGAGTGCTGTCACTGGTCATTTGCAACTCCATGCCAGGGCGCTCGCAGCAGGCTTTGCCGATACTCTTCCCCAGCCCTGCCTCGTGGCCGACCTCGCTCAGTGCCTCCATGCGGTGAGTCCGTCGATGCACTCTGTGCCACCCCGAGCGCATTGAGGTGTATTTTGAGGCGCCTCAAAATACACCTCAATGAGTCCGTCGATGCACTCTGTGCCACCCCGAGCGCATTGAGGTGTATTTTGAGGCGCCTCAAAATACACCTCAATGAGTCCGTCGATGCACTCTGTGCCACCCCGAGCGCATTGAGGTGTATTTTGAGGCGCCTCAAAATACACCTCAATGAGTCCGTCGATGCACTCTGTGCCACCCCGAGCGCATTGAGGTGTATTTTGAGGCGCCTCAAAATACACCTCAATGAGTCCGTCGATGCACTCTGTGCCACCCCGAGCGCATTGAGGTGTATTTTGAGGCGCCTCAAAATACACCTCAATGAGTCCGTCGATGCACTCTGTGCCACCCCGAGCGCATTGAGGTGTATTTTGAGGCGCCTCAAAATACACCTCAATGAGTCCGTCGATGCACTCTGTGCCACCCCGAGCGCATTGAGGTGTATTTTGAGGCGCCTCAAAATACACCTCAATGAGTCCGTCGATGCACTCTGTGCCACCCCGAGCGCATTGAGGTGTATTTTGAGGCGCCTCAAAATACACCTCAATGAGTCCGTCGATGCACTCTGTGCCACCCCGAGCGCATTGAGGTGTATTTTGAGGCGCCTCAAAATACACCTCAATGAGTCCGTCGATGCACTCTGTGCCACCCCGAGCGCATTGAGGTGTATTTTGAGGCGCCTCAAAATACACCTCAATGAGTCCGTCGATGCACTCTGTGCCACCCCGAGCGCATTGAGGTGTATTTTGAGGCGCCTCAAAATACACCTCAATGAGTCCGTCGATGCACTCTGTGCCACCCCGAGCGCATTGAGGTGTATTTTGAGGCGCCTCAAAATACACCTCAATGAGTCCGTCGATGCACTCTGTGCCACCCCGAGCGCATTGAGGTGTATTTTGAGGCGCCTCAAAATACACCTCAATGAGTCCGTCGATGCACTCTGTGCCACCCCGAGCGCATTGAGGTGTATTTTGAGGCGCCTCAAAATACACCTCAATGAGTCCGTCGATGCACTCTGTGCCACCCCGAGCGCATTGAGGTGTATTTTGAGGCGCCTCAAAATACACCTCAATGAGTCCGTCGATGCACTCTGTGCCACCCCGAGCGCATTGAGGTGTATTTTGAGGCGCCTCAAAATACACCTCAATGAGTCCGTCGATGCACTCTGTGCCACCCCGAGCGCATTGAGGTGTATTTTGAGGCGCCTCAAAATACACCTCAATGAGTCCGTCGATGCACTCTGTGCCACCCCGAGCGCATTGAGGTGTATTTTGAGGCGCCTCAAAATACACCTCAATGAGTCCGTCGATGCACTCTGTGCCACCCCGAGCGCATTGAGGTGTATTTTGAGGCGCCTCAAAATACACCTCAATGAGTCCGTCGATGCACTCTGTGCCACCCCGAGCGCATTGAGGTGTATTTTGAGGCGCCTCAAAATACACCTCAATGAGTCCGTCGATGCACTCTGTGCCACCCCGAGCGCATTGAGGTGTATTTTGAGGCGCCTCAAAATACACCTCAATGAGTCCGTCGATGCACTCTGTGCCACCCCGAGCGCATTGAGGTGTATTTTGAGGCGCCTCAAAATACACCTCAATGAGTCCGTCGATGCACTCTGTGCCACCCCGAGCGCATTGAGGTGTATTTTGAGGCGCCTCAAAATACACCTCAATGAGTCCGTCGATGCACTCTGTGCCACCCCGAGCGCATTGAGGTGTATTTTGAGGCGCCTCAAAATACACCTCAATGAGTCCGTCGATGCACTCTGTGCCACCCCGAGCGCATTGAGGTGTATTTTGAGGCGCCTCAAAATACACCTCAATGAGTCCGTCGATGCACTCTGTGCCACCCCGAGCGCATTGAGGTGTATTTTGAGGCGCCTCAAAATACACCTCAATGAGTCCGTCGATGCACTCTGTGCCACCCCGAGCGCATTGAGGTGTATTTTGAGGCGCCTCAAAATACACCTCAATGAGTCCGTCGATGCACTCTGTGCCACCCCGAGCGCATTGAGGTGTATTTTGAGGCGCCTCAAAATACACCTCAATGAGTCCGTCGATGCACTCTGTGCCACCCCGAGCGCATTGAGGTGTATTTTGAGGCGCCTCAAAATACACCTCAATGAGTCCGTCGATGCACTCTGTGCCACCCCGAGCGCATTGAGGTGTATTTTGAGGCGCCTCAAAATACACCTCAATGAGTCCGTCGATGCACTCTGTGCCACCCCGAGCGCATTGAGGTGTATTTTGAGGCGCCTCAAAATACACCTCAATGAGTCCGTCGATGCACTCTGTGCCACCCCGAGCGCATTGAGGTGTATTTTGAGGCGCCTCAAAATACACCTCAATGAGTCCGTCGATGCACTCTGTGCCACCCCGAGCGCATTGAGGTGTATTTTGAGGCGCCTCAAAATACACCTCAATGAGTCCGTCGATGCACTCTGTGCCACCCCGAGCGCATTGAGGTGTATTTTGAGGCGCCTCAAAATACACCTCAATGAGTCCGTCGATGCACTCTGTGCCACCCCGAGCGCATTGAGGTGTATTTTGAGGCGCCTCAAAATACACCTCAATGAGTCCGTCGATGCACTCTGTGCCACCCCGAGCGCATTGAGGTGTATTTTGAGGCGCCTCAAAATACACCTCAATGAGTCCGTCGATGCACTCTGTGCCACCCCGAGCGCATTGAGGTGTATTTTGAGGCGCCTCAAAATACACCTCAATGAGTCCGTCGATGCACTCTGTGCCACCCCGAGCGCATTGAGGTGTATTTTGAGGCGCCTCAAAATACACCTCAATGAGTCCGTCGATGCACTCTGTGCCACCCCGAGCGCATTGAGGTGTATTTTGAGGCGCCTCAAAATACACCTCAATGAGTCCGTCGATGCACTCTGTGCCACCCCGAGCGCATTGAGGTGTATTTTGAGGCGCCTCAAAATACACCTCAATGAGTCCGTCGATGCACTCTGTGCCACCCCGAGCGCATTGAGGTGTATTTTGAGGCGCCTCAAAATACACCTCAATGAGTCCGTCGATGCACTCTGTGCCACCCCGAGCGCATTGAGGTGTATTTTGAGGCGCCTCAAAATACACCTCAATGAGTCCGTCGATGCACTCTGTGCCACCCCGAGCGCATTGAGGTGTATTTTGAGGCGCCTCAAAATACACCTCAATGAGTCCGTCGATGCACTCTGTGCCACCCCGAGCGCATTGAGGTGTATTTTGAGGCGCCTCAAAATACACCTCAATGAGTCCGTCGATGCACTCTGTGCCACCCCGAGCGCATTGAGGTGTATTTTGAGGCGCCTCAAAATACACCTCAATGAGTCCGTCGATGCACTCTGTGCCACCCCGAGCGCATTGAGGTGTATTTTGAGGCGCCTCAAAATACACCTCAATGAGTCCGTCGATGCACTCTGTGCCACCCCGAGCGCATTGAGGTGTATTTTGAGGCGCCTCAAAATACACCTCAATGAGTCCGTCGATGCACTCTGTGCCACCCCGAGCGCATTGAGGTGTATTTTGAGGCGCCTCAAAATACACCTCAATGAGTCCGTCGATGCACTCTGTGCCACCCCGAGCGCATTGAGGTGTATTTTGAGGCGCCTCAAAATACACCTCAATGAGTCCGTCGATGCACTCTGTGCCACCCCGAGCGCATTGAGGTGTATTTTGAGGCGCCTCAAAATACACCTCAATGAGTCCGTCGATGCACTCTGTGCCACCCCGAGCGCATTGAGGTGTATTTTGAGGCGCCTCAAAATACACCTCAATGAGTCCGTCGATGCACTCTGTGCCACCCCGAGCGCATTGAGGTGTATTTTGAGGCGCCTCAAAATACACCTCAATGAGTCCGTCGATGCACTCTGTGCCACCCCGAGCGCATTGAGGTGTATTTTGAGGCGCCTCAAAATACACCTCAATGAGTCCGTCGATGCACTCTGTGCCACCCCGAGCGCATTGAGGTGTATTTTGAGGCGCCTCAAAATACACCTCAATGAGTCCGTCGATGCACTCTGTGCCACCCCGAGCGCATTGAGGTGTATTTTGAGGCGCCTCAAAATACACCTCAATGAGTCCGTCGATGCACTCTGTGCCACCCCGAGCGCATTGAGGTGTATTTTGAGGCGCCTCAAAATACACCTCAATGAGTCCGTCGATGCACTCTGTGCCACCCCGAGCGCATTGAGGTGTATTTTGAGGCGCCTCAAAATACACCTCAATGAGTCCGTCGATGCACTCTGTGCCACCCCGAGCGCATTGAGGTGTATTTTGAGGCGCCTCAAAATACACCTCAATGAGTCCGTCGATGCACTCTGTGCCACCCCGAGCGCATTGAGGTGTATTTTGAGGCGCCTCAAAATACACCTCAATGAGTCCGTCGATGCACTCTGTGCCACCCCGAGCGCATTGAGGTGTATTTTGAGGCGCCTCAAAATACACCTCAATGAGTCCGTCGATGCACTCTGTGCCACCCCGAGCGCATTGAGGTGTATTTTGAGGCGCCTCAAAATACACCTCAATGAGTCCGTCGATGCACTCTGTGCCACCCCGAGCGCATTGAGGTGTATTTTGAGGCGCCTCAAAATACACCTCAATGAGTCCGTCGATGCACTCTGTGCCACCCCGAGCGCATTGAGGTGTATTTTGAGGCGCCTCAAAATACACCTCAATGAGTCCGTCGATGCACTCTGTGCCACCCCGAGCGCATTGAGGTGTATTTTGAGGCGCCTCAAAATACACCTCAATGAGTCCGTCGATGCACTCTGTGCCACCCCGAGCGCATTGAGGTGTATTTTGAGGCGCCTCAAAATACACCTCAATGAGTCCGTCGATGCACTCTGTGCCACCCCGAGCGCATTGAGGTGTATTTTGAGGCGCCTCAAAATACACCTCAATGAGTCCGTCGATGCACTCTGTGCCACCCCGAGCGCATTGAGGTGTATTTTGAGGCGCCTCAAAATACACCTCAATGAGTCCGTCGATGCACTCTGTGCCACCCCGAGCGCATTGAGGTGTATTTTGAGGCGCCTCAAAATACACCTCAATGAGTCCGTCGATGCACTCTGTGCCACCCCGAGCGCATTGAGGTGTATTTTGAGGCGCCTCAAAATACACCTCAATGAGTCCGTCGATGCACTCTGTGCCACCCCGAGCGCATTGAGGTGTATTTTGAGGCGCCTCAAAATACACCTCAATGAGTCCGTCGATGCACTCTGTGCCACCCCGAGCGCATTGAGGTGTATTTTGAGGCGCCTCAAAATACACCTCAATGAGTCCGTCGATGCACTCTGTGCCACCCCGAGCGCATTGAGGTGTATTTTGAGGCGCCTCAAAATACACCTCAATGAGTCCGTCGATGCACTCTGTGCCACCCCGAGCGCATTGAGGTGTATTTTGAGGCGCCTCAAAATACACCTCAATGAGTCCGTCGATGCACTCTGTGCCACCCCGAGCGCATTGAGGTGTATTTTGAGGCGCCTCAAAATACACCTCAATGAGTCCGTCGATGCACTCTGTGCCACCCCGAGCGCATTGAGGTGTATTTTGAGGCGCCTCAAAATACACCTCAATGAGTCCGTCGATGCACTCTGTGCCACCCCGAGCGCATTGAGGTGTATTTTGAGGCGCCTCAAAATACACCTCAATGAGTCCGTCGATGCACTCTGTGCCACCCCGAGCGCATTGAGGTGTATTTTGAGGCGCCTCAAAATACACCTCAATGAGTCCGTCGATGCACTCTGTGCCACCCCGAGCGCATTGAGGTGTATTTTGAGGCGCCTCAAAATACACCTCAATGAGTCCGTCGATGCACTCTGTGCCACCCCGAGCGCATTGAGGTGTATTTTGAGGCGCCTCAAAATACACCTCAATGAGTCCGTCGATGCACTCTGTGCCACCCCGAGCGCATTGAGGTGTATTTTGAGGCGCCTCAAAATACACCTCAATGAGTCCGTCGATGCACTCTGTGCCACCCCGAGCGCATTGAGGTGTATTTTGAGGCGCCTCAAAATACACCTCAATGAGTCCGTCGATGCACTCTGTGCCACCCCGAGCGCATTGAGGTGTATTTTGAGGCGCCTCAAAATACACCTCAATGAGTCCGTCGATGCACTCTGTGCCACCCCGAGCGCATTGAGGTGTATTTTGAGGCGCCTCAAAATACACCTCAATGAGTCCGTCGATGCACTCTGTGCCACCCCGAGCGCCGTGCAGTCTCCCCAATGCGAGCCACGACCATTTGTGATTTTTGAGTCGACTCAAAAATCGAGCATTTGTGACTGTATACTGTCAGTTTGCATTCCATGCCTGCTCTTACCAACCCTCCTTTGTCTGCCACTTCCCCCTGCATTATCCTCTCTCCCCCTCCTCTCCTCTCCTCCACCTGCCCATTTTTCAGCTCTTTGCCCCCATCGACCAATCAGACGACCTCTCCGACACCTCCACCAAGCACGTCGCGCCAGCCGACCCCTCCTCTGCCTCCTCTCTCGCCCCCTCAACTCCTCCACGCCCCAAATCCCCGCAACTCCGCTCCAAAGCCGCGCTCGCCCTCGCCAAGCCCGAGGACGCCGCCGCTTTGCTAAAAGAAATGCTTAGCGGGCGGGAGGTGATGGTGGTGGATGACAACGCGGTGAACCGGATGGTGGCGAGGAAGACTCTTCAGGGGCTGGGGGCGAAAGTGGAGCTTGTAGAGAGCGGGGAGAAGGCTCTGGAGAGACTGAGTGCTCCAAATGCGTTTACTGTGTTGCTGATCGACCTGCACATGCCCCCTGGCATTGACGGGTAAGTTTTTTTCTGAAGCGTCTCAATCTAGTCGTCTCACAGCACACCCATGCACACAGGTGCTTTTTGAGTCGACTCAAAAACAGGTGCTCAGCCATCATTTGCTCTCTTTTTGAGACGTCTCAAAAACAGGTGCTCAGCCATCATTTGCTCTCTTTTTGAGACGTCTCAAAAACAGGTGCTCAGCCATCATTTGCTCTCTTTTTGAGACGTCTCAAAAACAGGTGCTCAGCCATCATTTGCTCTCTTTTTGAGACGTCTCAAAAACAGGTGCTCAGCCATCATTTGCTCTCTTTTTGAGACGTCTTAAAAACAGGTGCTCAGCCATCATTTGCTCTCTTTTTGAGACGTCTCAAAAACAGGTGCTCAGCCATCATTTGCTCTCTTTTTGAGACGTCTCAAAAACAGGTGCTCAGCCATCATTTGCTCTCTTTTTGAGACGTCTCAAAAACAGGTGCTCAGCCATCATTTGCTCTCTTTTTGAGACGTCTCAAAAACAGGTGCTCAGCCATCATTTGCTCTCTTTTTGAGACGTCTCAAAAACAGGTGCTCAGCCATCATTTGCTCTCTTTTTGAGACGTCTCAAAAACAGGTGCTCAGCCATCATTTGCTCTCCCCTCCTCTGGTCTCGCCTCTCCCGCCTTAGGCCACTGTTCCTGGGATGGATGGGCAAACTGGAATCACTTCTGAGAAGTATGCCAGTATGGTCTCCAGATGTTTATCAAGGCTACTCAAGAATCAATCTCATTTTTTCGCTTACGCCTTTACCCTCCGTCCCTGTGACTCACCTACAGCTACGAGACTGCTCGGCGAATTCGCGCCCAATCCGCGACAGAGACTGCAGCACCTGCTGCTGCAATCACCACTACGAGCACCAGCAGTAGCAGCGGTGGCAGCGGCAGCACCACTGTCACCTCCTCCTCGTCCACTCTCTCCTCCCTGCCGAAGCTTCAATCGCAGCCGTCTTTCGCGTTCCACCCTGGCGGCCTGCCATTGTTGGATCTAGACGCTCCAGCAGCAGCAGCAACCACAACTGCAGAAGCAGCAGCAGCAACTCCAGCAGGAGCAGCACCAGCAGCGACACCAGCAGCGGCAGCAGAGGCACCTGGACCGGCAGCAGAGGCACCTGGACCGGCAGCAGAGGCACCTGGAGCGGCAGCAGAGGCACCTGGACCGGCATGCAGGCAGCTTATATTTGCATTGACAGCAGATGTGGACGCGCGGGTAAGGCATGCATGCAAGGAGGCGGGAATGGACGGCACTCTCTCCAAGCCCATCGCCCACCAAGAGCTGCTGTCCGCCATCAAAACAGCTGGAGTCACTCTGCTGTGATCCTTCGAAGGTCTTGAGACGCCTCTAAAACCGGGTTCTGCGGGCATGCAAGGAGGCGGGTATGGACGGCACTCTCTCCAAGCCCATCGCCCACCAATAATTGCTCTCTGCCATCAAAGCTGCAGGAGTTGCACTTAAGTGATTCATTCAAGCTGCGGGGGTTGTGCTGCTCTGCTGTGAATTGTCACCGCTGGTACTGTGCTCGTATGGCTTGTGAGAAATTTTAAAAGTGAACCGTCCACAGCCGCTGCTGCTGCTCCTGCTGCTTCACAAGGCCCTATATCAGGCATCAACGATTGATTTATTATTTAAACAGGCATGGAGGAGGTGCATGGTAATAAGGAAGCGCGCCTGCAAAGAAGCACGCCTGCGAGGAAGCAGGCATGGGTGGTTCTCGCTTTGACCCCATCTTGTGCCAAGCTCTGCTGTTCGTCATCTTTCTGGCGCGTCTAAAGTTGCTCCAACCAGCCATATCTCATGCCAAGGTCAGAGCTCCAGGGGGTTGCCTTCCACGAGGAATCCTGCACTGATACTGATTCTGAGGTGTAGATGGGCATGTTTTTTTAGGCGCCTAATAAATAGACTTCACGAGGAATCCTGCACTGACTCAGCTGCGAAGGGGGAAGAGCTGTTGAGTGCTGTTCATGCAGCTGTGCTCAGCTTGCTGTGTGAACATAATTCATTTGTTCCTGATGCGTTGTTGTGGAAACACGGTGCAGCAAGAGCTGCAGAGAATTCCTGCACTCATTCCATGGAAACACTAGTTCTCTATCTTCAATTTACCAAGACCAACAAATGCTTCTAGCTCATCAACTGAGGTCTTGCGTCGATTGGTCCAAGTGCAGCGCTGTTCTTCATGCCCACGTGCTCTCGCCTCTTGACTTGGCGCCAAAATAACGTGGTCTGAGAACGTGGTCCGTCCCAAGATTCAGCCCCTCCTGTGAAATCGAGCTGATATCGACCAATTGAAGCTCCAATTGACACGAGGTAACTCACCCCACCCCATCCAATCGGCTTTCTGAATAGCTTCCACATTTGTCCAATGGGCTGGGAGAAGGGAAAATTATTCGTTGGTTTTGAAAGTGTTTGTACGTTTATTGTACTTGTTTGTAACTTCATCGAGAATTTTGCCGTTTCAATGAGCCCTGAACAAACGTTTTAAAGCAATAGCTTCGTATAGGAAGGAACACTATTGTGAAGTCCCAAATTCTCAGACCAGAACTGAGGCAAACGAATAAGTTTACTGCAATAAGGGTGAGCTAGGGCAGTAAACTCGTACAGTAGCCGGTTTCACTTCATTGCACCTGCCACGTTCTTAGTTTGACGCGGATACCAATGGTCCCATGTGAAGAACAGTCCCACACATTATTGTCGATAGAGCTGTGTTCTGTTGGTCTGTCGATGCAGCATGTCTATGTGGAAAAACATATAGTAAAGGTGCAATGGCAAGAATATTAGTGAACTATTCGGTCCTTTCACTTCAATTTCCCAAAAACATCTTATGCTTGTAAATGCAATTCAGAGAAGGAAAGTTTCAACATTCAAATGCAACAACACAACGAATTGGTCTGAACCGCAAGCTGGGATCGGAATGATTGCTCTCTACGTGGTCGCGCACCACGACGAACCTTGCCATTCGGCTGCGGCGTTGCTCCAGCAAGCATGCGCAGACAGCACATCGTTCTTTCAACCTGTTCCGCAGTTGTGTGATGGCTTCCATTCGCATCAGATCAGAGTGGTTCTTCTTCAGCGGAGCGGAGCCCGCGCCAAGGACGACACAGCAAGGACGCGCAGCGGAAGGACTTCAAGGAACGGCATGGTTGTTGAGTTATAGTTTGCATAAATCCCATAACCTCTTTAATTGCATATAACCGTACGAGAACGCATGAAAACTCTTCAAACCGCATATTGGTTGTGTCCTACCCGTCCTTTCCGTGGGGCAGGTCCATAACCTGAGTTTTTCCCGCCACCTCGGAAAGTCAGCCGTTCAACCCGAACCAAATCCATCCATCCCAGTTTAGTGCAACTGAAGCACTCGTAGATATGCTTCTTAGCATCGATAAGATTTTGTTTTTCCCCGCGGCTGTTGTATCTGACTCCAAGCCTTTCCCTTGGACGCGTCTACCTCCCTCTTTCACTATATCCATGGCCGCGGCACAACTTGGTGATGCTGCGAAACACGGCCGTCGAGGAACTTCGTCTTCGCGATGTAGAATTCCTTCTTCTGATGTTTGTGATAGTACTGTCGCAGCGGCTTTAGTTTCGCGGACAATGTGTGATTTCGAAACCTCGGGAAGCCGCGTTATGAGTCATGGCGGCGGCGTTTCTCCGACGGCAGAGCGCGATTGCTCGCAGGCGTCGAACGTGACGATCATGGGCTCATCGACCGCGATGGCGACGACCCCCGCTCATTGCGGCGCCGAAGCGTCCTCTGCAAGGCTGGCTTGTTTGGAAGCGCAGAAGGCGTGCAGCCCTGTTTGGATCGACGACGCGCGCTCGAGGATACGGCAAGCGGCTTTGGCCGTGCTGGAGACGCAGCAGCAATCTCAGCATCTCGCTTCGATCGTGGACGACCACATGCTGTTGGACGGCCCCGAGACGCGCTGGACTGAGCCTGAATGGAGCATGGAGAACGCAGACTACACTATGCCGGCGTTTTATGCGGAGGGGGATATCGACGACGAGGACTCACTGACGTTGGAGCCATTGGAAGGGAAAGTTATTCGGCCTTCTGAATCACTTCGTGGAGCTTTAGTGAACTTTGTGAAGAGCTCTCTGCATTTGATAATGTAGTTGCAAGTAAGATCGTCCTTCGACAGAGAATTTAGTGCACCACTCCCTGTGTATATATGAGTAGATACGAAACAAACATTCAAAATGGATGAAGAGCGCTAACAGCGTCTCAGGTTAGGCCAGAACTTTGAACGGCTTGATTAGTACAACAATACCAAATGTTTAGGAGGAATTTTCAATAAAAGCGGACTTTCTGAACCCACACCCCAATATCGAAAATGTGCGATGTCGAGGATGAAATCACAGGTGCATCGCACGTACAAGTCCGAAACGAAGCACAGCACACCTTGAAGCTGTCGCAGCCGTCGGATGTGAAGGCCCCCGATTGCATAAGTTATGTTTCACTGTCCACGTGTATATGTGACTATATCGCGCGCCCTTGCATCTAACCACAATTACGACATGTTATCACAAGGGGGTGTCGAAGCGTGCACGTATGACTCCACCAAGAATGCGCGACTCGAAATCACAAAAACGAATTGCACATTTCATGCGCCCCTCACACCATCTCGCTGGTCTCTGCGTTCGATCTCTCACGAGACGCAGAATACCTTGATTCGCGGCGACTCTCTCCTCGCCGAACCCACCTGCTCACTTGTACTACCCATCGTCAACTCTATCAACATACATCCAACCACGGGGCGAAGGACAGAGAACCAACCACCCAGTGACGAGACAAAAGCCACAGCACGGCGCAGCACAGCACCCTTACCGCTGGAATGAAGGGGACGGCTCTCGTCGCATTGAGCATACAGTACGAAGCGGCTTTGTCATATCCGCTTGTTCGCTTCCCGTCCTTCGCTTCAGCAGCGCTCATTGTCACATCACATCTCTTCAGGAGGCAATAACCAGCGCACACTCGGTCCCTCTTCAGACTAGTCACAAATGCGAAGCGCCTTCTCCACAATCCGCGGCGTAAGAGAACACTCGATTAGGACAACCAGGGTACGAAATGGTCTGCACGCGGGTAGGGCCAGGGAGAAAACAGGTAGACCTGGACTTCGGCACAGTGGTGCTGGAGGAGTAGGTAGGGAGAGAGGGAGTGAATAAGTGGCATGTGCAATGCGCATAGGATGAAAGTCTAGGCAAACCAAGGGCGCCAGTTTCTTTATGTAGATATCACGCCTAGGGTGGCCGTTAGTCGTTAGTTGCCGCAGCCCAACAGTTTCAAAAACGGACCAGGAGTAAGGCCTAAGTAACGTTATTCTTAGCTTCCGGAAACGCTGGTCGGAGACAGAGTCAAAGCGCGTGTTCTTCCTCTTTAACGAGACAATAGTTGTTTCGTCTCGCCAGTCGAGTCGTGTCGGCAGCAGGCAGTGCTGCTGTCGGTGACCAAGACGAGTATCTTGAGTCGACTCATTGTTTCTCGACTAGCGTTGTAACAGCAGGAAGCTCTGACAGACAGGTCGACTGTTGTCGGTGACACGGCGGTGACACAGCTAGAGGCCTGCTGCGTTGGATGACGTTCCAGTAGAGCATATAGTCTGTTTGTTCATCGCTGCATATCCGCTTTGCTAGCGCCTGTAGTCGATTTGACGGACGACACAAGCGTGACTTCGTTGGTCCCACACGCTTTATGAACATCTGGATTGAAAATAAGTAGGTCATCAGGGATTACTCTTTCGAATAGGCTGCACTCAGAAATGGCGGCACCGAGGCGAATCGTGCTGTCTCTGCTGCTGCTACTCGTGTTTACGGCGGCATGTCCACTGCCTGCGTCAGCCAAGCTACGCGACAGAATCCGCAAGTGGATCGGGAGAGGTTCTCCCGCCCCTCCCGGCGGGCCTAAGAGCAAATCGGGGCCAGTCTCGATTGACAAAGTCAAGGAAGTCGCGAAAGTCGTCAAGTTACTCGCGCAAAACAAGGAATTCGTGCGAATGTTTTGGAAAGGAGGTGAGTTTGTGCGACAGGCGTTCTGGTAGGAACAAGCTGTGTTGTCTGCCTCTTGAGCACCTGCCCGCGCTGTAGCCAGGAATCCTGGGAATATAACATTTTTCGTTAACGCATGTGGCGCCTTATGAAGATGTTATTCGATGGCGCAGGAACAGCAGCCCAACAGGCCACCCCTTCACCTTCTCACTGCTCCCTCTTTCGCCTTTTTTTCTTCCCCTCCCACTCTTCCCGCCCGTCTTCCTCCCCGCACCCCCTTTCCCCCCCGTTCTCCTATCTCCCCTGTAACACCTTTCCGTCAACCTATTCGCGAATATGTCTTACGCGAACTCAAGACGTCGCGGATTTGCTGCTGCGCGCGCTGCGGCGGTCGAACGAGGTGACACTGCTGGCGCCGTCGCCCGACGCAGCGAAGGCGGAGCTTCCCGACGACTCGCCACTGGTGAAGAGCAAGAAGACGATGCGCCGTCTGCTGCGCTACTGCCTCGTATTGGGCCGCCTCGTCTCCTACACCAACCTCGTCGAGGATCCTGCGGGGACCAAGGTAACGTTTCGCGGAAAACAACGTTGTTGTTCGGTAACCATTTCGCGTGCTGTATCGCGCAGCTGCTTCGTGCGTAACAAGATAACGTCTCGTAAAACCAGGGCACATGCCTGGTTCCGCTGTCTTTTTTTCACTGCGGTTTGTCGCCATTCTCTGGTTCTTGATTTGCAACTCTTTGTTTTTCCTTCTGTTTTTGTCCCCGCTGTAACTCCATCCAGTATCCGACAATGTACGGGCAGCCGCAGGTCAAATCCGCAGAAAGCTCTTTTTTCACGGTGTACTTCCGAACTCCCTCGGGAAAAGAGAACAGCACGCTCGTAGCCCCAAACCTGTTTGAGGGGAAATTCCTCCAGGTGCACCTTGTATCGGATGTGCTTATACCGGATGGGTTTTTTGGCTCCCCGTCACCCCCCCCGGAGGAAGACGATCCGGTTGATCAGACGCCGCCGACGGAAACAGGCAGCGCGGGCGCCGCGTCTACTCCGCCGGCTCCCCCGCCGCCCGCGCTCACTGGCATGACGCCCCGCACACCATGAGTACGTCGTCTTTCCGCTGCCGCCATTTACCCCCTGTCTTCCCCCACCCCCACCCTCATCCCCTCGCCCTCCGTCGCTTGTCCCTCGCTTATTCTTGTATTGGGCTTTGCAACACAGCGTAATTTGCCTGTCACGCCATTCCCGCCCCCTACCCCCCACGCCACCAAAATTCCCATCCCTCCCACCTGGCCCGCCATGCGCAGCACGTTTCCTCTCCCTCCCCCCCCCTTCCCCTCCCCACTCAACCCTCCTTCTCCCCTTCCCATCCCCTGCCCCGCCCCTTATCACCCCCGTGTCCTTCTCCTTTCTGCCGTTCTCCTGTGATCCCTCGTCTTCTCTACACGGCACTCGTCTTCTTTTCCTGCCTTGCTCCTCTGTTCAATTCGTCTACCCTCTCCCTCTGCCTCCCCATCCCTAACCTCTGCATTTTGCCTCACCCTTATATCCCTCCTGTCCACTCCCACAGCAGGAAGTGGTGGACTTTTAGGGCGGCGAACTGAACCCGTTACAGTCAGATCCCTTATATGCGTGCAGACTTCAGAGCCTAACGGACCTCGCTTTCGTTAATGATGTGGCCACCAATAGAAGGGTCTGATATGGATAGAGGTTGCTGATAGTTAGGCGAATAAAACGAAAGTTACAGCATTGTTGCAGCGGTATTCTAAACTGTAGGCAGAGTACTGCACTTCGGTGTAGCTTTATTACCGTGGTATTTACAAGAATGGAATGGAAGTCAAGGCAAGTTAGAGCCTTATCATGGCACATTGTTAGTGCGTGATATGCAGTTTCTGTTAGGGCTTGATTAGTAACTTACACTGGCATTTCACTTTATTTAGACAGTAGTGCGATTTGATATAGCTATCGATGGCATTTCACTTGGTATGCACAGTAATGCCCTAAACCCTAAACCCTCAACTCTGGGCATGCATTTCTCTTTAGCTGGCTAATTATACAATCGAGAATCTATTTCAGCAAGGCCCACTGCCGGCCTCTCAGCCTCCTCCCATTTATCTCCCGCTGCCTCAACTCTCCCATCACATTCATCCCCTCCATCCCCTTTACAAGCTGCTCCACTTCAAGGCAAGACGGCCTGTGGGCAGGGTTGCGCTCAGTACACCACTGCACCAGCGCTGAAGCCTGGTGGTACCTCACCGGCCCAAACTGGACTGCAAGATGACTAAGGGAGGGGTCTGCAGTGGATGAGGTATCTGCAGGGGATGGGGTTTCCACAGCACGTGTCCTGCTTGACTCCCCACCTGCGCCTGCTGCTGCTGCTGTCTCTGCTGGTGGTGCCCCTGCTGGTGCTGCCGAACCTGCTTGCGTTACAGTGTCAGGCTCTGGTTCGGCTGGAGATGCATGTGGTCCGGGAAAAGACCGAGACACTGGAAAGGCCCTGGCAACAGCGGCAGTAGCGGCAGCGGCAGCGGCGGTGGCTGCTGTTTCGGACGAGCTATCCGATGCTCGTGCTGATGTGATTGGCCAGACGGATTTCTTCCCAGATGATCCTGTTCTCAATATAAGCTCATTCATTATGACGCCGAGCGCGTACACGTCGCTAGCAGTACCGTACCGGCCCGATCCCATGAATGCAGGGTCCAGGTATTTGGCATCACCAAACACGACACACCCAAGGCTCTTCCCTTCCGAACCTTGCCCGTCCCGAGCCTGGCAGGGCATGCCGTAATCCGCCAGCTGCACCCGGACCTGAGCAGCAGATTCGGCCCGAGCCTTCCGACGAAGCATGTGGCGCCACCACCGTTGCTCTCGGTCCGAAAGATGGCTCGGCGACTGGGGGCTGCAACGCTGCGTTGATCCAACAGCGTGCAGAAGCACGTTGGCGGGACGGAGGGAAGCGTGCAGAAAGCTGTGGGAATGGAGGTGATCTAGCCCTCCTGCTATCTGACGAGCAATAGAGAGACGAGCGGACCAGGAGGAGAGAGCAGAGGGGGACCCCGCTCCACACAGCATTGCATCTGCGGATAGAAGACAGAGGGGAGGGGAGGAAAGGGAGGAACAGTTTAGTACGGTTGAGGGGTAAAAATGAACAATACCGACAAGTTGCTAATCCATTATTGAACTCCGCAAGACGAAAGCTCGTAACAAAAAAGAAACAAAACAAAACAAAATTGGGAAAATATAAGACGGAAGATTCTACCTCTTGCGAGGGCGTATTCGAGGGAGCGTGCAGAGGGGTTGGAGCGGAAGACCAGCAGCAGCTCTTCCGAGCAGCTGAATCCCACAATCGGCAGCAAGTTCATGTGCGACGCTGCTGCTGCTGCCAGACGCCCCATCATCTCCCTCCCTGCAGAGACAGACGAGTCCACCTCTCCAGAGATCTGTGCCTGCTCGGGCGTATGAGACGGCATGCTATCTGACGCTGTTGGTCCCTGCTCGCTGCTCGTGCTTCTGCTGCCTGTCGCGTCGGCAGCTGCTGACGTGGACGGTGGGGGAGGCAACGAGGAAGGGAGGTACCGCCAACGCTTCACCCTCGCGCAGCCGCCTCTTAGAGTCACACACTCAGTGGCGGTGAGCTCTTGACACGTGGCACAGCAGCACTGGTCGGCTGGAGATTGGGCACGTTTCGCCGAATCACGTGGAGCTTCCTTGGTAGGCCCCTCCAAGTGGGGACCTTCACCGCCCACGTGACCCTTACCCACGTGGCAGCACCCGCGGTACACGGCGCCCGCCCAGTCCATCGCCAGCATGGCATCAGGGCTGAATCCACGTGTGCAGGCCGCCAGCTCACGCAGAGAGAACTCCACGGCCGGCAAAGGGAACTCGAGGAGTGGCTGGGTGAACGCTGGGGATGCGGGTGGTGCTGTGAAGGTGGCCGCCACGGCGGTTGGAGTGGGTACGGGGGCATCAGACTGTTCGTTTGTGGGATGAGTGCGCGAGACGCGCTGGGGGAGCTCGAGGGATGAGCAGGCGTTAGATTCGGTAGCAACGGCCTGGTGATGCTGCCGCCAGTGCTGGTGGTGGCGATGCTGGTGGCGGCGGTGCTGCTGCTGGCAGGAGAGTGACTCGTGGGCGATCATTGGGAGGTCTCTGGTTGAGGGACCGTTGCGATCAGGCCATTTGGTTGATGCCCATTGGACGAGGCCTGGAAGAGCGAAGAAGAGAAAAATATATAAAAAGAGATTGGATTTCCACAGATCAACGGATAGATTTCCGGACTTTGAAAAAATCGTCTTGATTGTCTTTCGGGTCCCCAAACTTTGAGGTCTTTTGAAATAAATAAGAATTTCGTCATGGTTCGGCGTACCCGTTATGAAACTCATGTAGTCGCGCGCTTTCCTACGGAGGCTTCGAATCTTATTACTATTCACGACGTATTCGCGCCGCGGCGCCGCCACAGCAGCCTCGGCGACTAACACGCAGGCCGTGCCGCTCCGCGATACTCGGCGCGTGCTCATGGATGCTCGTCAACTCACGCTTCTGGATAAGCACAATGCTTTTTATCGCCACGCTCTTCCAGCGGGTAGACTAAGGGTGTTACTAGCTGGTAAGCTTCAAGCTACACGGCACGCAGTACTCAGCGCTTCACTCTACACAATGCTATGATCGGAGACATGCTCGCGTTTATGTATTACTACTAATAGGGTATGCGAACGGTGACAGATCCTCAAAGGTTATGTCAGACAGCTATCCCAGCATATTCGTCCAAGCTCCAGGCCTGCCGCAATGAGGTGACCGTGGCGCTATGGCCTGACATACCTGATAGCGATTAAATCTAACAGTGATACACCGCTACGGATTCACTGCAGGAGCAGCAGGCACTGGCGGACAATCACGCTCTGCTTACGTGTTTTTTGCGGCCGGACTTGTGTTTTGATGAGTGGCCAATGGTGCGCGGTTCGGGCGTGTCGCCCCTCTCCCGATAAAAAAACAGCACTTGTTGCCCACGGCGTACGAAATGGGAATGCCAACATTGATAAGGAAAGGGAGGATTGTACGAAATCGATCGCGATTCGCCTGTCAAGACCAGCCGCATTTGCAGTACGGACTGTACACAAATTGGGAGTGCAGGCTCAGCTCAGCCCGTCATCATCAAAGCGCGGCGCGAAGCTACAGTCAGATTCAAACCAGCTGGTGCTGGGGGAAGAAAGTGAGGTTGGACATCTACCTGAGACCGCAGCCGTCCAGCCTCGGCTTTCCGGGCTGCCGGCGAGCTGGCAGTTACCTTTCGGTCAGCCTCAGACTGACGGCTTGACGGTTGTTTATAGCCGGTGACAGCAAGAACACAGGTTACAGTGACGTGGCATTTCTTCCCTGAAAGTCTAGACAAGAAAGCAAAACGCTGGGGAAATAACACGGTAGTGAGGGATTGATAACACGTCAGCTTACTGCGGTTCGTAGGACTGAGAAGGTCGTTCCTTTTTTTCCGAACCACTTTCATGCCTTACCCAGCGTATTCCCCAAAGCTAGATAAGCGCGGGGCAGGCCAGGGCGCTGAGACGCTCAGCATGTTATGATGACTTGCCGGCGGTTTGAATGTAGGACAAAACGAAGAAATTTCTTCGAAACTCGCATGAGGGGGAGAGGTGGTAAACGGAGGTGGTTAGAATGTTCATGCATCGGTGCTCAAAACTGCCTCATTGATTTTACCGAAGCATGCTTTAGGTCAAGTCTTGATATCAATTATGTGCAGTTCCGACTGTGCAGTTCAGGTTATGCCTTAGAAATAAGGTGTTCATGGGGGTGTTGGTTGCCCAAATAATGGACGGCAAGATTTCTCACCTCACCTTACACACTTGGTGTCTCTCAATTGGCAAAAATCTCGTTTTGGTAGGTGCAAATCAATCTGATTGCTGCAAAACTTCAAAGTTTATCGAATTTGCAATTTAGGACTCACTGTTCCCTAAATGCCATTTCAACTCATGACCCAAGATTTAACTTCCTATCACAAAATATACGTCGAATCATATGCCAAGCATAGAATTCCCCCAACAGCATCAATACCTAGCCTTGCAGTGTCAAACACCTCCTGGTTTTGCTACTGAAGCCTTATCGTCTTCAACAAAAACATGCTTGAGTGCTTCATAGCACATGAACGAGATCCCTGCAGCAGGCATTAGCTTGACGCATGACGGCACAAGACCTCTGTATAGACCTTGGATTCCTTGCTCCTGAACGATCCTCTGAATACAGTCCAACGTCCCCTTGTACACTACACGACCCTTGAGCGCACCCACTTGCATCTGAAAGTGTAAGAACGGGAAGGGGAGGGGGGTTAACATGATGGAAGGATTATACAGGTAAGCCCTGATAATGCACCACAGAACATCAGAGCTCGTGAGCGCCTGTATTATCGGATATGGGGAGCTCAACATCGGGTAAAGAACCCGATGTATGAACCTGTTTGCATACCTCTTTAAGTGGGAATGTAGGAGAGGCGGGAGCAGTAGCAAAACTGGCAGCACTGGCAGCACCAGCAAATCCAGAAGCAGCACCAAGAGACAAAAAAAAGCACACTGCCGCCCAGCAAGCACACCTCCTCAACCCAGCCCCAGCAAGCGTGCACAGCGTGTCGTAGGCCAAGTAGTTGGAGCCGGCAAACTGCCTATTAGGCTGGGACCCAGCCCCGGGTAGAGATGGTGTGCGCCCCCACTAGCATCACCCACACCCCCCAAACCACCCAGAGAGAAAGCACACCTGCTTGCGGGCGACTTCCAGGGGGAACGTGGCCGAGGCAGCAGCAGCACCGGCTAGCGAGCCAATGATGAGCGTGGCCAGCGGCTCGATCTTGTCCTTCTTGGCGAGCCTCTTGTAGAGCGTGCGCAGCGTGTCGTATGCAAAGTAGTTGGAGCCGGCGTACGGCACGATGCCTATCAGGCTGGGGCCCAGACCCCTGTAGAGCTCGTGAGCGCCCTCCTCTGTGATGATGCGGTAGAATGCATGCAGAATGGAACGGTACTCGCCCGGCTGCACGTATTGGGAAGGGGGGGAAGGGGGCATGGGGAAAGGGGGAGGGGGTACAGGGGAGGGGGGGGGATGAAGAGGGAAAGAGAGAAATTGAAGGCACAGAGGAGAGGCACAGCGGCACGGGTCGGGTCGGACAAGTTTAGGGCACGAATCATGATGCCTATAAGGCTGGGGCCCAGGCCCTTGTCGATTAGAGCTCGTGAGAGCCCTCCTCTGTGATGATGCGGTAGAATGCTTGCAGAATGGAATGGTACTCGCCCGGCTGCACGGACAATGGGGGTGAGGGTAGAGGAGGGGGACGACAGCGATGGGAGGCTCAGAGGTTGCTTAGGCCACGCTTTACGATGCCTATACGAGGGTGGTAACCAGCTCGTGCACACGCTCTTTTGAGGCGCCTCAAAACCAGCTCGTGCACACGCTCCTCTGTGAGTCTGCAGCGGTTCTTCCATGGCTGCAGAACGAAGGATCGAGAGTGATGCCGTGCTGGTGGTGCATGATGTGCGGCTGGGATGTAGCCGGGGGGTGCTTGATGTACGGCTGGGATGTAGTGGGGGGCGCTTGGTGTACGTCTGGGATGTAGTGTGGGGGGCTTAATAGCCCGAAGTTAGAAAGATGGTCAGCCTTGTCTTGACGAGCTCGAGAACAGATTGAGTTCCCTTGCTCCTTCACATTTCACATGCAAAGCAACCGATCCCACAATGCGCTCGCAAATCCGAGACTGTTATCCTCACCTGGATGGTCAGCCTTGTCTTGACGTGCTCGAGGCGGTACACGAGACAGCAGGCGGCCACGTCAGCAGCAGATCCCACCAATGAACTTAACAGCCAAACCAACACTAATCAGCTTACCTGGATGGTCAGCCTTGTCTTGACGAGCTCTAGGGGGTACATGAGGCAGCAGGCGGCCACGCCAGCAGCGGACCCGGCAATGGAGGATGGTGGGATGGGAATGATGGGCTTGCCGCCGTCTGGCGGGGTGAGCAGCTTCTTGACAGTGTCGTACGTGAATAGCTGGTGGCGGGGAGGGAGGGATGGGCGTAGGGGCGCATGGAAAACACATGTTGGTTGCACCGTGGGCATGATATCTTTCAGGTTGTGTGAGCAGCTTCTTGACAGTGTCGTACGTGAATAGCTGGTGGCGGGGAGGGGAGGAGGGATGAGGAAAGAGGATATGGGCACATGACACACGCATGTTGGTTAGGCAGCAGGCGGCCACGCCAGCAGCGGACCCGGCAATGGAGGAGGGCGGGATGGGGATGATGGGCTTGGCACCGTCCGGGGGAGTGAGCATCTTCTTGACTGTGTCGTACGTGAATAGCTGGTGGCAGGGAGAAGGGAAAGGAGGAGGATGGGAGAGGAGTAAGGAGGAATGCGCGTATGGGCGCATGGGCAACACACGTTGGTCATACGTCGAGCAGAGTATTTCTTAGGTAGTGTGAGCGGCTTCGTCACGCTGTCGTACGTGACCAGTGGTGAGAGGGGGAATGGGCAATGAAGGAAACGAGGATGAAAACAATGGGTCTGAGGCGTTGTTGCTTCCTTGTCTCGTGCCTTTAACGCTATATTTCTCGATCTTATTTAGCAAATGGGTTGTAGTCGGACTGGAAATTTAGCATGGGTGAACAGGCACGTGTCACTCAGCGTCACAATGCAGCAGCTATGAGCGTGAGCATGGCCACAATAGTCAACTTAACCCTTTCAGGTGAAAGCCCATTGATCTCCTCACATGTGCACCTTTCACCTTCACCGCCTTTTGAGACGTGATAAAAGTTGTATTTTGAGACGTCTCAAAATACATGTGCACCTTTCACCTCCACCGCCTTTTTAGTCGACTCTCACCTCCACGGCCTTGCCGGGAGCGACGCGGAGGACGTTGATGGCGTTGCCGCGGAACAGCCCGCGCCACCCCTCCTTCTGCATGATCCAGCGGAACACGCCCACGATCGTGCGGTGCCCAGAGCTCCCCACCATCAGATGCGTGCGAATCGTCTCCAACGGCGCCACCACTGCCACATTGCGCAATTTTAAAGTCGAAACGTATAACACAATCATTGATATGATTAATTCCCCGAGCTCCCCACCATCAGATGCGTGCGGATCGTCTCTAGCGGCGCCACCACTGCCACATTGCACAGTCACATTATCATTTTTTTTATCGCATTTGTAAGCGATTGCATAATCCAAGTGACCAAAAATGGTATTTTGCTTGCCAGAGTGGCGTCCTGATCACTTCCTACTGACCACTTTCGAGCGAACGCATTGTGGCTCGCGGGAAGTGCCGCACACGGCGCCTCAAAGAACGAGATAGATGCATACAATCAAAACGGGGAAAATGAGTTACGAGATGACACGCACCTGTGCGTGACACGCCTCCAGCAATGGCTCCGCTGACAAGCTTCTTCGCCGGTCCCCCAAGGCGAATCTGCACTCTGAAACCGCGATTCGCCTTCCACGCCGTTCCCGCCACCGTCCCTTCGCCAGCTTCGCCAGTTTCCTCTCGCAGCTCTTCGCCAAACTCGACCTTCTCCAAACCACCTGCCGGCGTCGGCGCCTCGGACGACGAATCCGACGCGTATTCCGACCAGCTGAATCCGAATTCGCCATCCACGCACTCTAGCGTTTCCATCTCGTCCAGCGTCTTTTTCCGCCTCTGCTTTTGTCGTTGCCGCTCTGAAAACGTCACCTTGGACTTCATTCGATTCCCAAAGATTGGCTTCGCGTCCTCCTCTTCGAGCTCGCCTGCTTTTCGCAACCGCTGACGCTCCGAAAAGGTGACTTTATCCGGCTTCATGCGATGTCCACGGAAACCGAAAGAGCCTCCATTGGGACCATTTCCATTTTGAGCGGTCGGCGAACCGGATGCATCGCCATTCGAAGAAGCGGCGAGGGGTCTTCGGGAGCCGCGCCGTCGCTGCTGCTGGCGTTCGGAGAACGTAACTCTGCGAGACTCTTGAGGCTTTGAGCTGATCGCTAAGTCTTGAGATGCAGCTGGGGGATCCATGGTGAAAAAATAATGATTTTCTTTCCTCACGTCGGAAGACGATCAGAGAGATACGGATGAGTAAAAAATCAGGCGACTCTAGGAAACAGCTCGTCCTGTAAGGCGGGCCGCGGGATCAGCTCATGCAATTTGGCTTAGATGCCCTAGCGAAGACGCTGGTGATGTCGGAGGAAATATTCTTCACTACATAATTCAACAGTGAAGCACCAAGGGCGACTGAGATACTACTACCCACTACTGTAATGGTCAATCTCTGATCAATATCCTTGATCTACGTACTGCAATGGTCAGTCTCTCTCAAACCAAGCGCGCATGTCGTCACTTCCCATACCACGATCTGTTCCGGTGCGTTACGGTGAAAAGTGTTGAAAGCGCGTTACCGTGTACAAACGTAATGAACCGCACTGGACGATGAGCTTGAAAGGTCATGGGGACACGGCATCAGGCTTGCAGGGACAGTCGTGACAGGAAGGACCATCTGACTGATGGGAGGGAGCCAGGGTAGCGCCTGACGTAACAACAAGGGAACTGTGACCTATCTGAAGGAAATTCCCTGGGGGAAAGGCCGCTGGCCAATGAGAGCAAGCGCCGTACGCTGACTTGGCCGCCACGTGCATGGTATTGAGGAATCTTGCTCATTTGCCGGGAAGAAGATGCTTTCTGGGATGAAGACGTGGCGCTGGATCTTGGGAAGAGCACAACGGATTGCAGCAGGGAACATGCTCAGTGTTTGTACAGTCGATGCTCACCTAGTCCCGTGGAATTTGCTCGTCCCATCTCAAAACTTTTCCCTCGTGCATTCGTGGACGGACAACGGCCCCTCATGAACAATCATATCAGTAGATCGTAGCCGTCGATCGAACTGCTTATCACGCTGTCAACCATCCCTTCTTCAGATATTTTGAAAACGGTACATGGTAATTCGTCAACCCCTCCACTTGCGCGTTACATTCCCAATTTTTCCAGTGGCGAAGTTGGGCCAGGTAGGCGAAAGTGGGGTTCCTCTAATGGGCATCGGCTGTACACGAATCGCTGCTTAACTATTGCTAGATAGCACTAATCCGGTATAGTGTGATTTACGTAGTAGTCATTCTCCAGCCTTTTTTCACTCCAACACGGGAGGAAAGCAGGTACAAAAAATCACAAGTCGTGTGATCATCGTGAAGCACTCCATCTGGTATCAATACTGTAGCTAAGACATGAGTCGGTTTCTGGTGTCACTTGTGAGGCTACGGTAAGTTTTGAGTGCGTTTAACGAACTAGCAAGTTTATGCACATTATTGGTTTACACAGAGACGAAAGAATGAATACAGTGAGTGACCACTTGTCATGCCTAAATGGGCACGTCGGCTACTCTCATTACCTCCTCCACTATATCTCATCCAAACGAATTCTATTAGCTAGATTTCATGAGCCACTTCCTCCTTGAGAATATCCCCAGCTCGCACAAACGGTCCGCCTGCTCCTAACCGACCTCGGGGCGGAGTACTGCAAGCTCTCTGGAGGTGCGTCCCCGTGAACGCATGCCGACGGAAAAAACGAACTGGTGACGCCGTCATTGACGGCGAACTGCGCCCGTCAGCAGTTGACGGTCGGCTGTCACATCCTGACGACCAGCTGTGACGGCTGAATGGAGCAGCCGTAGATGGCGACGGGTTCGAGTCTGGAAGGGGAGGACCTGAGAAATTCCACTCTTCCTCCATGGGGGAGCATTGAACAGACTCTCCTCCAGGGCCATTCGATGGAATGGCGGGGTTGCGACTCAGTGAGATAGACGGTTCCAATGATTTGCGCATGGAGTTATGACGTTTGACAGCCGGACGACGTGGGGCTGAGTAGAATCTGGAAGTGGTAAGCTGCTCGTTAATAATCGACTGCGGAGGACTGTGCGCAGTAACTATCGACATCTGCGTAAATAGGTTTCGAATTAGGTATATGACGGCAGCTGGAAGTAAGGATTGAGTGTGAAGGACTGCGAAGAAGTCACTAAACGGAGTGGGGGCCGTGAATAAAGAATGTTCAATTGAAACGGTCGAGAGCAAGGAAATGTGATTCCAAACACTAACTTGGGAAATAAGTACAGCAGAGTGTGCGCTGGGGGGCTTGGTTGGGATGGGAATGAGGTTAGTGAAAGGACGAACCATGAAACGAAATTTGAAGTGGAGAGGAGCAAGAGTGAGGTGTGTGAGGGTGATGTGTGAGAGAGAGGGGGATGTGAGGGAGATGTGGAGGAGGCAGGTGAATGAAAGCTGGCATGGAGGGGATGAGGTCCGTTAGACATGATGATGGTGGTTATGGGGTCGCTGATTCGTTAAAGGCGGGGTGCAACTTCTTAGGAACAGTAGGGGGACAAAAATGGCATGTGAGTAACTTGAATTCTATTGGACGAAAAAACTGGAAAACCAGAAGAGGACAAACTTCTCGGCTCTGAACTGCCTGGGTCAACCTCTTCCAAGCTATAATACTTTGAAGTTGAAGTTGATAGTTGGGCCACGGCTTTAAGTCAAAGGACGAGTTAATGACACACGTCACTACAGTCGACTTGCACGCGGAGCCTCTAATTTGTACACTTGTCCTAGACCACCGAACCACGTCCAAGTCCGGCCCAGAAAGCACCAGCAAACATCAGATCAACGCACTGTACACCCGTCCTGCCCGTTTGATAGCGGGCTTGGCGTGTACTGTACTGCAATGGAAACACGGGCATCCAGGTTCTAGAAGGATCAATTACTTCAGGGAACTCGTGTTTGCTGCTGCTCCACAGCTTTCTGGATGACCGATTTGAAACCTACAGTGCAAATAACGCGGAAACTGTCCAAACAAATGACAGCTGTTCGGGCATGTGAACGAGGAATATGACAAGCCCGGAAGGCATCGAACACCCTGAGGCCGTCGATCGAAGCTCCACGGGCAATTTCTGTTGTACAGCTGTACAGCTGTATGTTGGTGCGAAATCAAATGGGGAGATCCTCCAACGTGCCTCGATCTCAACAATTTTGGCACCAACCATCGGTGCTGCTGGTTTGGCGAAAGCTGCCCAAGTTGCCCAAATAATAAACATCGAACTGTAGTGCTTCGCTGTTGCCTTCACGCGGTTTTTTTACAAACAGCTGCGAACACCTCACACGTCTATGGTTCCACGCTGTATAGTTGTTAGGAAGTAATACACATTCAGCAGTTTCACGTAGGATGAGTCCGCCAAATATCAGTCAAGCCCAAATGATTGTCGGACAAAAGCCAATAATCCTGCATTATGGGAGGATCGGGGAAGCATGCAGCACAATAAAAGCAAGCAGGTTAGGCGTGCAAGCTAACTTATAAAACAAACCAATCAATCAATGTGTGTACAAGTCGAGGGAACGAATCAACAAGAGATATGAATCATCGCCCAAAGCAAAAACAGTCAAGTGGTGCAAGAAACATGCTAATATGCAATAGTATCTCCAGCCTTGCAGCACTCACCACTGGCTCGGCGGGAACAACTCTCATTGGTCCAGACGCGTCCCCTGGCATTCCTGGCATTGTCATCCACATGTCCCCTTCTCCATCCCCCATACCCATAGCTCCTCCACCTTCACTCCCCCGCCCCTCTCCACATCCCCAAGCCCCAGGACTTGAGTCTATTCCCATCCCTGCTACCATAGCTGCCCCCTCCTGCCCTACTCCCCCTCTGCCTCCTCCTACTTCTGCTGGCGCTGCTGCTGCTGCCACTTCACCAGCAGTCGTTGCTGCTGCTGCTGCTGCTGCTGCTGCTGCTGCTGCTGCTGCTGCTGCTGCTGCTGGTCTTGTTTCCGTTGCAGCACTCTCGGTTCCCCCGGTTGCATTCACAGTAGCAGGCGCAGCAGCAGGAGTGGCATGGTCGGTGCCACTGTCAAACTTCTCCTCAAACCGGCTGGGGATGCACAGGGACAGGACAGGCAAACGAGAGTGAGAGAGCTTAGCTATGGGGCGCCTCAGAAATAAAAGGAAACAGAGCAGCTGAATAAGGGAAATAGGGAGGTCAGAGAAAGGACCTTAAGAATGAGGGATCACAGAATGCAGCTGAGTGGAGACCGAGTGAGAAATAGGGAGGTTGGGAGCCCGGGGGGTGGAGAGGGAAGGCAGGAAAGAGGTATAATCTGGGAGAGGGAAGGCAGGAAAGAGGTATAATCTGGGAGAGGGAAGGCAGGAAAGAGGTATAATCTGGGAGAGGGAAGGCAGGAAAGAGGTATAATCTGGGAGAGGGAAGGCAGGAAAGAGGTATAATCTGGGAGAGGGAAGGCAGGAAAGAGGTATAATCTGGGAGAGGGAAGGCAGGAAAGAGGTATAATCTGGGAGAGGGAAGGCAGGAAAGAGGTATAATCTGGGAGAGGGAAGGCAGGAAAGAGGTATAATCTGGGAGAGGGAAGGCAGGAAAGAGGTATAATCTGGGAGAGGGAAGGCAGGAAAGAGGTATAATCTGGGAGAGGGAAGGCAGGAAAGAGGTATAATCTGGGAGAGGGAAGGCAGGAAAGAGGTATAATCTGGGAGAGGGAAGGCAGGAAAGAGGTATAATCTGGGAGAGGGAAGGCAGGAAAGAGGTATAATCTGGGAGAGGGAAGGCAGGAAAGAGGTATAATCTGGGAGAGGGAAGGCAGGAAAGAGGTATAATCTGGGAGAGGGGAATGATAGAGAGGGATTGGGAGGGACGGGGGTGGGAGGAGGGGAAAGAGGTGGGAAGAAAACGGGGGGGAAATGGGGGAGGAGTGGAAGGGGGGACAAGACAGGGTACAAGGCAGAGAGGCAGGATTGTGTGGTCATACCTGACGAGGTAGACGTCAATGGGGCCACTAGCACTGCGCAGCAGGATCTGATAGCGCTTGCTGCATGACGATGGGCCACTGTGCGCTCTGCCTGCCGGCGGAGGAGGATATTCAGCGTAGGCGGGGTGGGGAGGTGGGTGGTGGGTGGAGGGAGAAAGGAGAGGAGAGGGTTGAGATGTGCAGTAGGATCTGATAGCGCTTGCTGCATGGTGATGGGCTGCTGTGCGCCCTGGCTGCCTGTGTGACGGACATGGACGGGTGGAGGGGGAGATTGGGCATGGGAAGGGGGGAGGAGTTGGGTGGTGGGGGGAGAGAGACAGGAGAGTGGAGGGTTGAGACTTGCAGCAGGATCTGGTAGTGGCTGCTGCATGGCGATGCGATGAGCCGCTGTGCACCCTGCCTGCCTGTGACGAAATCGTCTGGTGGAGGGGAAAAGTTGGGCAGGAAAAGAGGGAGGAGTTGGGGGGCTGTGGGAAGAGGGGAGAGGGGGCATGGAGGTGCGAGCGTAATGAGGGGTCGTTAAGTATGATGATGCGGATGGGATGGTGGCACATGATGTGGATGATGGCACATGATGTGGATGGTGGCACATGATGTGGATGGTGGCACATGATGTGGATGGTGGCACATGATGTGGATGGTGGCACATGATGTGGATGGTGGCACATGATGTGGATGGTGGCACATGATATGGATGATACCCACACTTTGATATGGCAGCACAGAGCACCACCAGCAGGAATCACCCCAGCAGGACTCGCATCAGCAGGACTCGCATCAGCAGGACTCACCCCATCAGAAATCACCCCATCAGGAATCCCCACGTCAGCACCCACCCTTTAAACTCACCTCGTCAGGATCGGGAACTTCCAGCATGGTGCCATGCGGAGCGCGGATGGCGATGAGTGTCTCATTCTGATGTGCAGGAGAGGGGGGATGGGGCAGGGGACGGAGGGGGGATGGGGCAAGGGAGGGGAGATGGGGGAAAGGAGAGAGGATGGGACATGGATGGGGGAAGGAAAGACACCACGAGTTCCAACCGAGACACTACTCTCTCTACCTGGAAGCGTGGCAGGCTCTGATTGCCATCTTCTGTCATTTTCTGTTACGAACATCCACTGCTTCTTCTTTCCCCATTGGGAAACCATCTTACCAGGACAAGTCGCACCACTATCTACCTAGAAGCATGGAAGGCCCTTGATATCGTCCTCTGTCACAAACATCCACTGCTTCTTCTTTCCCCCTTGGGAAACCACATACCAGAAACAAACGACACGATCTACCTGGAAAGTCGAACCGTGTACCTGGAAGCATGGAAGGCCCTTGATACCATCCTCTGTCACGACGAACATCCACCGCTTCTTTTCCCTCTCTTGAGAACCCCTCCCCTATGCACCGCTGTGTACCTGGAAGCATGGAAGGCCCTTGATGTCATCTTCTGTCACAAACATCCACTGCTTCTTCTCTCCATCATTGCCTGACAACCGCAGCCGCTCCTGCATTGCCCTGTGTGCAGGGGGGCGGGGTAGGGGAGGGGGTGTTGAGGTAGGTCAGCGGTGGTTGAGGGGGGTTGAAAGTCCCCTTGATGTCCTCTTCTGTAACGAACATCCACTGCTTCTTATCCCCATCATTGCCCGACAACCGCAGCCGCTCCTGCATGGCCCTGTGGAGGTAGCAGAAAGGGGGGAGGTAGCAGACGGGGAGAGGTGGCACAAAGGGGGGAGGTAGCAGAAGGGGGGGAGGTAGCAGTAGGGGGAGACAAATTACCATGAGGCTCCTCAGAACTTGTGTGTCTCATCTCATAACACCTACATCTGCAGCTGCAGCCACTCAATATGTCTGAGAAAAACAGCTGCAGCCACTCAATATGTCGGAGAAAAAGACTGCACAAAGAAACGGCACCAGAAATCCGTTCTCCTTGTCTGATGCTCTAGATCCGATCATATCAGATCGGATTTTATCAAATGATGATGATAAACCGGTAGAGGAGAGGAGAGGAGGGAAAGGAGAGGAGAAGAAGAGGAGGGGAGAGGAGGGAGAGGGAGAGGAGATGAAAGGAGGGAGAGGGAGTGCATACTTGATGTCTTTGTCTAGCTGTCCGTCTTGCTGCCTCAACTCGTCTAGCTGAGCCTGGTGTCAGCACAGGGAGGAGGAACGAGGAAGAGAAGGAGAGACGGATAGAGAGGGGCGGACGAGGAGGAGAGGTGGAGGAGACATAGAGGCAAAAGAGAGAGGAGGAGAAGGAAAGTAGCTATTGATTTGAGTCGATCACTGATTTTGACTTCAAAGGTTCCGTCCATCACGGATGGAAACAGAGAAAGAAAGAAACGAAGAAGGCGTGCTAACGATTGGTAACGCAATGGCATGGCAGGAAGTGCTTGGAAGAGGTGTTGGGGTGAAAGGGGTGGGGTGTGTGGTGAGGGCACCTAAAAATCTATTGGAAAGGAGGAGGCAGGGAGACAGAGGGGGCGGGAGAGAATGGAAAGGGGGAAAGGGGGGAAAAGGGAAAAGGGGAGGAAGGGCAGGTAGGGAAGCAGGTTGGGAAGGGGGAGAGGGTGGGAAGGGGGGGAAGGGAGGGATGCGCAGGAAGGAGGCGGAGGTGGGAAAAGAGAAAAAGGCACCACGGCAGGGTCGAATATATAACTCCTCCCCCCACCTTTCCTCCCCCATCCCCATCCATCCGCATCCCCCATCTCCCTTCCCCCCGGCTTATGCCCCCCACCATTGCACAGCACCGCACAGCACCTGGGCACTGCTCACGTCGTGTTGCATGCGTGTTGCTCCCTCCCCTTGCAGGTTCATCCCCCTGCCTCACACAAGCACAGCACAGGGAGGGGGGGCGGAGCAGAGACTATGAAGAAGTCCCTGTCTACCATAGTACAGGGAGGGGGATCGAAGCACACACTTCTGATACTGTCTCACATCCCTGTCTCACAGCCCTGTCTCACAGCCCTGTCTCACATCCCTGTCTCGCATCCCTGTCTCACATCCCTGTCTCGCATCCCTGTCTCACATCCCTGTCTCACATCCCTGTCTCACATCCCTGTCTCGTCTCACATCCCTGTCTCACATCCCTGTCTCACATCCCTGTCTCACATCCCTGTCTCACATCCCTGTCTCACATCCCTGTCTCACATCCCTGTCTCACATCCCTGTCTCGCATCCCTGTCTCGCATCCCTGTCTCACATCCCTGTCTCACATCCCTGTCTCGCATCCCTGTCTCACATCCCTGTCTCACATCCCTGTCTCACATCCCTGTCTCGCATCCCTGTCTCACATCCCTGTCTCACATCCCTGTCTCACATCCCTGTCTCACATCCCTGTCTCACATCCCTGTCTCACATCCCTGTCTCACATCCCTGTCTCACATCCCTGTCTCACATCCCTGTCTCACATCCCTGTCTCACATCCCTGTCTCACATCCCTGTCTCACATCCCTGTCTCCCATCCCTGTCTCCCATCCCTGTCTCCCATCCCTGTCTCCCATCCCTGTCTCCCATCCCTGTCTCGCATCCCTGTCTCACATCCCTGTCTCACATCCCTGTCTCGCATCCCTGTCTCACATCCCTGTCTCACATCCCTGTCTCACATCCCTGTCTCACATCCCTGTCTCACATCCCTGTCTCACAGCCCTGTCTCACATCCCTGTCTCGCATCCCTGTCTCACATCCCTGTCTCGCATCCCTGTCTCACATCCCTGTCTCACATCCCTGTCTCACATCCCTGTCTCGCATCCCTGTCTCACATCCCTGTCTCACATCCCTGTCTCGCATCCCTGTCTCACATCCCTGTCTCACATCCCTGTCTCACATCCCTGTCTCACATCCCTGTCTCACATCCCTGTCTCGCATCCCTGTCTCGCATCCCTGTCTCACATCCCTGTCTCACATCCCTGTCTCACATCCCTGTCTCGCATCCCTGTCTCACATCCCTGTCTCACATCCCTGTCTCGCATCCCTGTCTCACATCCCTGTCTCACATCCCTGTCTCACATCCCTGTCTCACATCCCTGTCTCACATCCCTGTCTCACATCCCTGTCTCACATCCCTGTCTCACATCCCTGTCTCACATCCCTGTCTCACATCCCTGTCTCACATCCCTGTCTCGCATCCCTGTCTCACATCCCTGTCTCGCATCCCTGTCTCGCATCCCTGTCTCACATCCCTGTCTCACATCCCTGTCTCACATCCCTGTCTCGCATCCCTGTCTCACATCCCTGTCTCACATCCCTGTCTCACATCCCTGTCTCACATCCCTGTCTCACATCCCTGTCTCACATCCCTGTCTCACATCCCTGTCTCACATCCCTGTCTCACATCCCTGTCTCACATCCCTGTCTCACATCCCTGTCTCACATCCCTGTCTCACATCCCTGTCTCCCATCCCTGTCTCCCATCCCTGTCTCACATCCCTGTCTCCCATCCCTGTCTCCCATCCCTGTCTCGCATCCCTGTCTCACATCCCTGTCTCACATCCCTGTCTCGCATCCCTGTCTCACATCCCTGTCTCACATCCCTGTCTCACATCCCTGTCTCACATCCCTGTCTCACATCCCTGTCTCACAGCCCTGTCTCACATCCCTGTCTCGCATCCCTGTCTCACATCCCTGTCTCGCATCCCTGTCTCACATCCCTGTCTCACATCCCTGTCTCACATCCCTGTCTCGCATCCCTGTCTCACATCCCTGTCTCACATCCCTGTCTCGCATCCCTGTCTCACATCCCTGTCTCACATCCCTGTCTCACATCCCTGTCTCACATCCCTGTCTCACATCCCTGTCTCGCATCCCTGTCTCGCATCCCTGTCTCACATCCCTGTCTCACATCCCTGTCTCACATCCCTGTCTCGCATCCCTGTCTCACATCCCTGTCTCACATCCCTGTCTCGCATCCCTGTCTCACATCCCTGTCTCACATCCCTGTCTCACATCCCTGTCTCACATCCCTGTCTCACATCCCTGTCTCACATCCCTGTCTCACATCCCTGTCTCACATCCCTGTCTCACATCCCTGTCTCACATCCCTGTCTCACATCCCTGTCTCACATCCCTGTCTCACATCCCTGTCTCACATCCCTGTCTCACATCCCTGTCTCACATCCCTGTCTCACATCCCTGTCTCCCATCCCTGTCTCACATCCCTGTCTCCCATCCCTGTCTCCCATCCCTGTCTCGCATCCCTGTCTCACATCCCTGTCTCACATCCCTGTCTCACATCCCTGTCTCACATCCCTGTCTCACATCCCTGTCTCACATCCCTGTCTCACATCCCTGTCTCACATCCCTGTCTCACATCCCTGTCTCACATCCCTGTCTCACATCCCTGTCTCACATCCCTGTCTCACATCCCTGTCTCACATCCCTGTCTCCCATCCCTGTCTCACATCCCTGTCTCCCATCCCTGTCTCCCATCCCTGTCTCGCATCCCTGTCTCACATCCCTGTCTCACATCCCTGTCTCGCATCCCTGTCTCACATCCCTGTCTCACATCCCTGTCTCCATCCCTGTCTCACATCCCTGTCTCACATCCCTGTCTCGCATCCCTGTCTCACATCCCTGTCATCCCTGTCTCACATCCCTGTCTCACATCCCTGTCTCACATCCCTGTCTCACATCCCTGTCTCGCATCCCTGTCTCACATCCCTGTCTCACATCCCTGTCTCACATCCCTGTCTCACATCCCTGTCTCGCATCCCTGTCTCGCATCCCTGTCTCACATCCCTGTCTCACATCCCTGTCTCACATCCCTGTCTCACATCCCTGTCTCACATCCCTGTCTCGCATCCCTGTCTCACATCCCTGTCTCACATCCCTGTCTCGCATCCCTGTCTCACATCCCTGTCTCACATCCCTGTCTCACATCCCTGTCTCGCATCCCTGTCTCACATCCCTGTCTCACATCCCTGTCTCACATCCCTGTCTCACATCCCTGTCTCACATCCCTGTCTCGCATCCCTGTCTCGCATCCCTGTCTCACATCCCTGTCTCACATCCCTGTCTCACATCCCTGTCTCGCATCCCTGTCTCACATCCCTGTCTCACATCCCTGTCTCACATCCCTGTCTCACATCCCTGTCTCACATCCCTGTCTCACATCCCTGTCTCACATCCCTGTCTCACATCCCTGTCTCACATCCCTGTCTCACATCCCTGTCTCACATCCCTGTCTCACATCCCTGTCTCACATCCCTGTCTCACATCCCTGTCTCACATCCCTGTCTCACATCCCTGTCTCCCATCCCTGTCTCACATCCCTGTCTCCCATCCCTGTCTCCCATCCCTGTCTCGCATCCCTGTCTCACATCCCTGTCTCACATCCCTGTCTCACATCCCTGTCTCACATCCCTGTCTCACATCCCTGTCTCACATCCCTGTCTCACATCCCTGTCTCACATCCCTGTCTCACATCCCTGTCTCACATCCCCGTCTCACATCCCTGTCTCACATCCCTGTCTCACATCCCTGTCTCACATCCCTGTCTCCCATCCCTGTCTCACATCCCTGTCTCCCATCCCTGTCTCCCATCCCTGTCTCGCATCCCTGTCTCACATCCCTGTCTCACATCCCTGTCTCGCATCCCTGTCTCACATCCCTGTCTCACATCCCTGTCTCCATCCCTGTCTCACATCCCTGTCTCACATCCCTGTCTCGCATCCCTGTCTCACATCCCTGTCTCACATCCCTGTCTCACATCCCTGTCTCACATCCCTGTCTCACATCCCTGTCTCGCATCCCTGTCTCACATCCCTGTCTCACATCCCTGTCTCACATCCCTGTCTCACATCCCTGTCTCGCATCCCTGTCTCGCATCCCTGTCTCACATCCCTGTCTCACATCCCTGTCTCACATCCCTGTCTCACATCCCTGTCTCACATCCCTGTCTCGCATCCCTGTCTCACATCCCTGTCTCACATCCCTGTCTCGCATCCCTGTCTCACATCCCTGTCTCACATCCCTGTCTCACATCCCTGTCTCGCATCCCTGTCTCACATCCCTGTCTCACATCCCTGTCTCACATCCCTGTCTCACATCCCTGTCTCGCATCCCTGTCTCGCATCCCTGTCTCACATCCCTGTCTCACATCCCTGTCTCACATCCCTGTCTCACATCCCTGTCTCACATCCCTGTCTCGCATCCCTGTCTCACATCCCTGTCTCGCATCCCTGTCTCGCATCCCTGTCTCACATCCCTGTCTCACATCCCTGTCTCACATCCCTGTCTCACATCCCTGTCTCACATCCCTGTCTCGCATCCCTGTCTCACATCCCTGTCTCACATCCCTGTCTCACATCCCTGTCTCACATCCCTGTCTCGCATCCCTGTCTCACATCCCTGTCTCACATCCCTGTCTCCATCCCTGTCTCACATCCCTGTCTCACATCCCTGTCTCACATCCCTGTCTCACATCGCTGTCTCACATCCCTGTCTCACATCCCTGTCTCACATCCCTGTCTCACATCCCTGTCTCACATCCCTGTCTCACATCCCTGTCTCACATCCCTGTCTCACATCCCTGTCTCACATCCCTGTCTCACATCCCTGTCTCACATCCCTGTCTCCCATCCCTGTCTCACATCCCTGTCTCCCATCCCTGTCTCCCATCCCTGTCTCGCATCCCTGTCTCACATCCCTGTCTCACATCCCTGTCTCACATCCCTGTCTCACATCCCTGTCTCACATCCCTGTCTCACATCCCTGTCTCACATCCCTGTCTCACATCCCTGTCTCACATCCCTGTCTCACATCCCCGTCTCACATCCCTGTCTCACATCCCTGTCTCACATCCCTGTCTCACATCCCTGTCTCACATCCCTGTCTCACATCCCTGTCTCACAGCCCTGTCTCACATCCCTGTCTCGCATCCCTGTCTCACATCCCTGTCTCGCATCCCTGTCTCACATCCCTGTCTCACATCCCTGTCTCACATCCCTGTCTCACATCCCTGTCTCACATCGCTGTCTCACATCCCTGTCTCACATCCCTGTCTCACATCCCTGTCTCACATCCCTGTCTCACATCCCTGTCTCACATCCCTGTCTCACATCCCTGTCTCACATCCCTGTCTCACATCCCTGTCTCACATCCCTGTCTCACATCCCTGTCTCCCATCCCTGTCTCACATCCCTGTCTCCCATCCCTGTCTCCCATCCCTGTCTCGCATCCCTGTCTCACATCCCTGTCTCACATCCCTGTCTCACATCCCTGTCTCACATCCCTGTCTCACATCCCTGTCTCACATCCCTGTCTCACATCCCTGTCTCACATCCCTGTCTCACATCCCTGTCTCACATCCCCGTCTCACATCCCTGTCTCACATCCCTGTCTCACATCCCTGTCTCACATCCCTGTCTCACATCCCTGTCTCACATCCCTGTCTCACAGCCCTGTCTCACATCCCTGTCTCGCATCCCTGTCTCACATCCCTGTCTCGCATCCCTGTCTCACATCCCTGTCTCACATCCCTGTCTCACATCCCTGTCTCGCATCCCTGTCTCACATCCCTGTCTCACATCCCTGTCTCGCATCCCTGTCTCACATCCCTGTCTCACATCCCTGTCTCACATCCCTGTCTCGCATCCCTGTCTCGCATCCCTGTCTCACATCCCTGTCTCACATCCCTGTCTCACATCCCTGTCTCACATCCCTGTCTCGCATCCCTGTCTCACATCCCTGTCTCACATCCCTGTCTCGCATCCCTGTCTCACATCCCTGTCTCACATCCCTGTCTCACATCCCTGTCTCACATCCCTGTCTCACATCCCTGTCTCACATCCCTGTCTCACATCCCTGTCTCACATCCCTGTCTCACATCCCTGTCTCACATCCCTGTCTCACATCCCTGTCTCGCATCCCTGTCTCACATCCCTGTCTCGCATCCCTGTCTCGCATCCCTGTCTCACATCCCTGTCTCACATCCCTGTCTCACATCCCTGTCTCGCATCCCTGTCTCACATCCCTGTCTCACATCCCTGTCTCACATCCCTGTCTCACATCCCTGTCTCACATCCCTGTCTCACATCCCTGTCTCACATCCCTGTCTCACATCCCTGTCTCACATCCCTGTCTCACATCCCTGTCTCACATCCCTGTCTCACATCCCTGTCTCCCATCCCTGTCTCCCATCCCTGTCTCACATCCCTGTCTCCCATCCCTGTCTCCCATCCCTGTCTCACATCCCTGTCTCGCATCCCTGTCTCACATCCCTGTCTCACATCCCTGTCTCACATCCCTGTCTCACATCCCTGTCTCACATCCCTGTCTCACAGCCCTGTCTCACATCCCTGTCTCGCATCCCTGTCTCACATCCCTGTCTCGCATCCCTGTCTCACATCCCTGTCTCACATCCCTGTCTCACATCCCTGTCTCGCATCCCTGTCTCACATCCCTGTCTCACATCCCTGTCTCGCATCCCTGTCTCACATCCCTGTCTCACATCCCTGTCTCACATCCCTGTCTCACATCCCTGTCTCACATCCCTGTCTCGCATCCCTGTCTCGCATCCCTGTCTCACATCCCTGTCTCACATCCCTGTCTCACATCCCTGTCTCACTTCCCTGTCTCACATCCCTGTCTCGCATCCCTGTCTCACATCCCTGTCTCACATCCCTGTCTCGCATCCCTGTCTCACATCCCTGTCTCACATCCCTGTCTCACATCCCTGTCTCACATCCCTGTCTCACATCCCTGTCTCACATCCCTGTCTCACATCCCTGTCTCACATCCCTGTCTCACATCCCTGTCTCACATCCCTGTCTCACATCCCTGTCTCACATCCCTGTCTCACATCCCTGTCTCACATCCCTGTCTCACATCCCTGTCTCACATCCCTGTCTCCCATCCCTGTCTCACATCCCTGTCTCCCATCCCTGTCTCCCATCCCTGTCTCGCATCCCTGTCTCACATCCCTGTCTCACATCCCTGTCTCACATCCCTGTCTCACATCCCTGTCTCACATCCCTGTCTCACATCCCTGTCTCACATCCCTGTCTCACATCCCTGTCTCACATCCCTGTCTCACATCCCTGTCTCACATCCCTGTCTCACATCCCTGTCTCACATCCCTGTCTCCCATCCCTGTCTCACATCCCTGTCTCCCATCCCTGTCTCCCATCCCTGTCTCGCATCCCTGTCTCACATCCCTGTCTCACATCCCTGTCTCGCATCCCTGTCTCACATCCCTGTCTCACATCCCTGTCTCCATCCCTGTCTCACATCCCTGTCTCACATCCCTGTCTCGCATCCCTGTCTCACATCCCTGTCTCACATCCCTGTCTCACATCCCTGTCTCACATCCCTGTCTCACATCCCTGTCTCGCATCCCTGTCTCACATCCCTGTCTCACATCCCTGTCTCACATCCCTGTCTCACATCCCTGTCTCGCATCCCTGTCTCGCATCCCTGTCTCACATCCCTGTCTCACATCCCTGTCTCACATCCCTGTCTCACATCCCTGTCTCACATCCCTGTCTCGCATCCCTGTCTCACATCCCTGTCTCACATCCCTGTCTCGCATCCCTGTCTCACATCCCTGTCTCACATCCCTGTCTCACATCCCTGTCTCGCATCCCTGTCTCACATCCCTGTCTCACATCCCTGTCTCACATCCCTGTCTCACATCCCTGTCTCGCATCCCTGTCTCGCATCCCTGTCTCACATCCCTGTCTCACATCCCTGTCTCACATCCCTGTCTCGCATCCCTGTCTCACATCCCTGTCTCACATCCCTGTCTCGCATCCCTGTCTCACATCCCTGTCTCACATCCCTGTCTCACATCCCTGTCTCACATCCCTGTCTCACATCCCTGTCTCACATCCCTGTCTCACATCCCTGTCTCACATCCCTGTCTCACATCCCTGTCTCACATCCCTGTCTCACATCCCTGTCTCACATCCCTGTCTCACATCCCTGTCTCACATCCCTGTCTCACATCCCTGTCTCCCATCCCTGTCTCACATCCCTGTCTCCCATCCCTGTCTCCCATCCCTGTCTCGCATCCCTGTCTCACATCCCTGTCTCACATCCCTGTCTCACATCCCTGTCTCACATCCCTGTCTCACATCCCTGTCTCACATCCCTGTCTCACATCCCTGTCTCACATCCCTGTCTCACATCCCCGTCTCACATCCCTGTCTCACATCCCTGTCTCACATCCCTGTCTCACATCCCTGTCTCCCATCCCTGTCTCACATCCCTGTCTCCCATCCCTGTCTCCCATCCCTGTCTCGCATCCCTGTCTCACATCCCTGTCTCACATCCCTGTCTCGCATCCCTGTCTCACATCCCTGTCTCACATCCCTGTCTCCATCCCTGTCTCACATCCCTGTCTCACATCCCTGTCTCGCATCCCTGTCTCACATCCCTGTCTCACATCCCTGTCTCACATCCCTGTCTCACATCCCTGTCTCACATCCCTGTCTCGCATCCCTGTCTCACATCCCTGTCTCACATCCCTGTCTCACATCCCTGTCTCACATCCCTGTCTCGCATCCCTGTCTCGCATCCCTGTCTCACATCCCTGTCTCACATCCCTGTCTCACATCCCTGTCTCACATCCCTGTCTCACATCCCTGTCTCGCATCCCTGTCTCACATCCCTGTCTCACATCCCTGTCTCGCATCCCTGTCTCACATCCCTGTCTCACATCCCTGTCTCACATCCCTGTCTCGCATCCCTGTCTCACATCCCTGTCTCACATCCCTGTCTCACATCCCTGTCTCACATCCCTGTCTCGCATCCCTGTCTCGCATCCCTGTCTCACATCCCTGTCTCACATCCCTGTCTCACATCCCTGTCTCACATCCCTGTCTCACATCCCTGTCTCGCATCCCTGTCTCACATCCCTGTCTCGCATCCCTGTCTCGCATCCCTGTCTCACATCCCTGTCTCACATCCCTGTCTCACATCCCTGTCTCACATCCCTGTCTCACATCCCTGTCTCGCATCCCTGTCTCACATCCCTGTCTCACATCCCTGTCTCACATCCCTGTCTCACATCCCTGTCTCGCATCCCTGTCTCACATCCCTGTCTCACATCCCTGTCTCACATCCCTGTCTCACATCCCTGTCTCGCATCCCTGTCTCACATCCCTGTCTCCCATCCCTGTCTCACATCCCTGTCTCGCATCCCTGTCTCACATCCCTGTCTCACATCCCTGTCTCACATCCCTGTCTCACATCCCTGTCTCGCATCCCTGTCTCGCATCCCTGTCTCACATCCCTGTCTCACATCCCTGTCTCACATCCCTGTCTCACATCCCTGTCTCACATCCCTGTCTCGCATCCCTGTCTCACATCCCTGTCTCACATCCCTGTCTCATCCCTGTCTCGCATCCCTGTCTCACATCCCTGTCTCGCATCCCTGTCTCACATCCCTGTCTCACATCCCTGTCTCACATCCCTGTCTCACATCCCTGTCTCACATCCCTGTCTCACATCCCTGTCTCACATCTCTGTCTCACACAGTCCTGAACCCTCCCCTCACATGCTCACCACACCATTCCCATCCTGCCCCAAGCAACCATTCCCATCCTGGCCCAAGCCCCACTCCTCACATACACTCACCCTCGCCCCCCAAATGCACTCATCCCCACCGCCCTATGCACTCACCCGCACCCTCCCACGCACTCACCCGCCCCCCCCTTCCCATGCACTCACCCGCTCCCCCACTTCCCATGCACCCTCCCTTTCCCATGCACTTACTCGCCCCCCTGACCTTCCCCATGCACTCACGCCCATCGCACAATGTCTCGCCCTTCTTCTCAGTTACCCCGTACTCTCCACTTTAAGACATCATCGTCCCCCCCATCCCCCTCCTAAGCACTCAACCCTCTCCTCCCCCTGCCCTTCCTATGCACTCACGCCCAGCGCACAATGTTCTTGTCCCTCTTCTCAATGAGCCCTTCACGAGCTCACCTCCCCGTCCCCCCTTCCCAACAACTCAAACAAACTCCCCCACATCCCGTGCACTCACGCCCATCGCACAATGTTCTTGCCCTTCTTCTCGATCAGCCCTATACCCTCCAGCACGTTCGTGATGTCGTAGATCCGCCGCTTCTGCACCTGCAGGCGCGAAAGTAGGATTGGGTGGGGTGGGGTTGGGGTTGGGGTTAGGGGTGGGGGCGGGGTTGGGTGTGGGGGTGGGTGGATGGGGCAGGGGAAGGTTATGCCGGAAGCACACTCAATCAGGCTAATGCCATGGAGCACGTTGGTGATGTTGTAGATCCGCTGCTTCTGCACCTGCAGTGATGGGGGAAGGGTGGCGTTGGGGTAAGGAGCAAGGAGAGGGGCACGGGGCGAAGTCCGGGCCACGTGCCAGTCGTCACTTTTGAGTCGACTCAAAAGTGACGACTGGAACTCGCTAGGTAGAGAGAGCACGGAACGTTCGGAGCATTGGCACAATGGGTGACGGGAAACGCATACTGAGGGAGGCAGCGGCGGCGTTGAGATCCATAGAGCAGTCGGGACTAGCCTTGATGAAAAGAAGTCGCCAGGTAGAGGGTACAGAACATTAGAAGCAAGAAGACAATGGGTGTTCACACCAGGGGAGCGAAACGCACACTGAGGGAGGCAGCAGCGACGTTGAGATCCACGGAGCAGTCGGGACTAGCCTTGATGAGATCGATGAACTTCCGAGTCAACAGCCCTGGCGACGGCAGCATGGCAACAACGGTGGCAGCAGCAGCAGGGTGGAAAGGACGGCAGCATATGACTGAGCTCTGACTATGAATGAATTCGAAACGTGAAGACTACAGAACCATGAGGCTGGAGGCAATGGTGCGATGCGAGGGGTTAGAGAGGTGGGATAGGACGAGACGAAGTTTGGTTTGAATGCAAAGGGAGGACACCAGAACTCGATTCACACACTCAACTTTCTGATTGACCTCTGGCCCTCCTTCCCCCCCTACTCTTTACCGAGAGAATTGTCGAATCTGCATGAGGGTTGCTGCTTCTGATGTGGCTGCAGGAATCTTGTGTTTGTCGTCTGATGTGGTAGCTCCTGTTGCTCTTGTTGCAGTTGCAGTTGTTGCTGCTGTTGCTGATGATGATACTCGAGGGGCTGCTGCTGCTGCTGCTGGTATGGCTGCACTGGTTGCTGTTGCTGCAGATGAATTTCCTGCTGAAACGGAAAATGCTGCTGCTGCTGCTGCTGCTGCTGTTGGTGCTGTTGGTGTTGCTGCTGGTGCAGGTTCTGCTGGTGGTGCTGGTGCTGCGGCTGAAACTGCACGTGCTGCTGGTGCGACGGCAAATGGTGGTGACCTTTCTGTGGCGGTTGTTGGTACGCTAGCTGGTTGTGCATCCTCGATGTAGAAGCAGCAGCAGCAGCTGCTGCAGCTGGATTGACAGTGGAAGCGGGATAGGCCTGGGAATAAGGGACGGATATTTCCGCCTGAGACCACCCACCTGCACGGAGCCCAATCAGGCAAAGTGAAAAAGGAAAAACCCCCGATTACATAAGGTGACATGCCCAGAAATCGTGATTCGCTAGTAGCACTGAAACCTCTGCAGGAAAAATCGTCAATATCATCATCAAGATTCAGAGTCACCTCTTGGAACGAACCTTAAGGGTCGGAACGATCCGGACCTCCAGATCTGCAGCCTGGTTTATCAAGTTGCGAATGCACCTTCTACTTTGCGCCGGACGTGGTAAAGGGATGCTTGCAGAATGCTGCGTTGCTACTTGAAGCGACTCAAGAAGCGACTGAGACATCGGATTCACAAGCTGTCCTGACCTGGACGCGGTAAGGGATGCATGCAGAATGCTGCATTGCTACTTGAAGTGACTCAGACATCGGATTCACGTGCTGTACTGTGCTGGACGCGGTAAGGGATGCATGAAGAATGCTGCAGTGCTCACTGAATGAGCAAAGAAGCGACTCAAACATCGGACTCACCTGCAGTCCTGACCCGGACGGGGTAACGAATGCGTGCAGAATGCTGCATTGCTCATTGAGTTGAATGACGAAGCGAGTGAGACATCGGATTCACCTGCGGTCCTGTCCTGGACATGGTAAGGGATGGCTGCGGCGGAATGCTGCGTCGCCGTTGCCAGCACGGCCGTTGCGTTGATAGCTGCTCCAATCGCAGCGTCACCCAATCCGACCACGCTCCCCGTCCTCCTGTTAGGTATAGCGGTAGCGCTCCTCCATTGCGTGTCCTGGACGGGATTACGAATGGGTGCAGAATGCTGCATTGCTCACGGAGTTGAATCACGAAGCGAGTGATATTCCGCGTCACCCAATCCGACCACGCTCCCCGTCCTTCCGTTAGAAATAGCGGTCGCGCTGCTCCATTGCGTGTCACGCTGCTTAAGCGAGGAAAACAGGGCAAACGAGCACAGAATTTGAAACGAGAGAATCAGACACAACCTGCATTGCAAGCCTTCGCTGTTAAGAGAGATCCGGTGGGTGGAGGATTCAGTGTAAGCCCAATCAGGAGCCTCAACTCTCGCGATAACGACGTTTCTGCTCCTGGTTGGCGATCAGTGATTACCGTGTAGCTTGACTGGTATGCTGCATTGTCCATTCCACCCCAATATCCTTGGCTTGCTGACGAACACGGATTCGAATCAGGGAAAAACGGCGACTGGTGAAACGTCTGCTTCATCGGTGAATGTTTTTGCTACAGCCGCGACAATGGAGATCGTTCGTGGAGATCATCAAACCAGCCTATGATGCCAATGGTTTGAGCTTTTTTATTAATACTAAGTTTAGTTCCCGCGTGCCAACTCTTCGAATGAACAGAATGTGTGTGCTGTTGCTGTCATGTAAGCTTCGTCACTCCCTTCCCTAGGTTAGCTATCTTCCAAGCGTGGCGCTCCTGGAGCTGCTCCTGCTGCTGCTTAAAAAACTCTCCAATCTCTGATCCCTTGAGTCCCGACTCCCGACTCCCGACTCCCAAGCCCTTCATTCAAGAGTTCTCAAGTTCAGAGAATATCTCTTGGGAAATGAAGGGCGTTCTGTAAATACTATCGATGATCATTCGTGGAACAGTTCGTACCGATTGGCTTGTGGATTCGAAAATCTCGGCGGGAAATCTTGCCTTTTGCTCCATCTTCATCGTTGGATATCCAGAAATCGCTTATCCGACGGCCCATCATCGAGCTGGCCAACAATAGTAGCACCCACAGGGGACAGGAGGAGCAACAAAAACACGAGTGGCAAGAGAACTGTTTCGGCCTTTTGCCGAGGTGTATGGCCCCGAAGACAAGAGGAGCCAGCCAATGAAGAGCTCACGACCAGGTTCGTGGGTGCTAATTGATGATCCCTGACACGCTGGATGCTGCCCATGCCACATCGATTGGCTTATTGGTCGCTGGAGGTTCGGCCAAACCGTAATAACCCCTTGTTGACTGATTCACGAGATGTTTGCTAACACAGTAAACTCGGAATGCTTATGAAAAAAGAGCTTGAAAATGTGAATGCTGTAACACTTCAAGAATTCACACCACTAGTGTACCCTCCACGGGCCAGGCGGCAACCAAATTCTGTCAGCGATCGCGTCGGCATCGCACGGGGCGCCTACTGAGTTGTCCTCGCGAAATGTCTTCAGTCCAATCCCATTCTTCCCGCATTTTTCCTCAGCGTTCCTATCTGTCGTTGTTTCCTCCCCTCGTGTTTCTTCAACCTGAATCCTTCCGTTTCGTATTCCTCGTTTGTCTTCGCCCTAGCATGGCTGGCCGCGTCTCCCACTCACACAGCCCTGCTGCTACCCACTCTCTCACTCATTGTTATTCACAGGAAGTCCTCGCGTTGACTCGTCAGAATGTGGGATGCTGAAACAGGGAAGAGCTGGCGCCAGTTGCACCGATCTTACCAACCGACAAACAGCGGCTTTGGCCGTCGGATTCACAAGCTAACTACCAAAAAAAAAAGAGCGAAATAGGGTGCCGCACGACATATTGGCACGTCCTCTTCACTTCTTCTTCCACGGTATGCTTACTTTTCTACTGATCATGTCGCAACGCTGTGGTACAGTTACAGTTGTAGTGGACGGCTATCGTAAAAGGCCTTTAGCATAGCGTGAGCTCGCGGTTTTCTATTCAACTTGACCTTGGATCTCAGCACTTTGTCCCGGATGAAACCTACCGACATCGAGCCGCAGTGGCTTTCCGTTTCCGCGACTACATGAGCACGTACTCCTCTCGTGCCAATATTTTAGTTAATATGTGTTTGGTCCTCTTAAGAAAATAGTACGTTGTCCATTAGGATCACACACCCGCAACTGCGCTGCCCACGTTCCTTCCTCGCTACCCTACGCCTTGATTGTTAGATCTTCAATCGGCTATTTTCCCTCCTACTAACTACCTTACGACTTGATTTGGATAAGCTTCGGTTGTTTCCTGAACAGACCTGTAGGATCAAGGCGACCTAGACAATCCGTCATGGCGGATTATCGGCGGAGGGTTCAACTGCGAAAATGTTTCGAGTTGCCAGCGCCATCGGCATCGCCATTGTATAGGGCAGCGTTTTCTGTAGCTTTCGTGTTAGTTTTACTCGTTCTCTCCGCCCTTCCCGCGTCAGCTCCGTCCCCCAGCGGAAGCTCATTCACCGCCACAGCTGCCGCCGCAACTACCGCCGCCGTAGCCGGCGCAGATGCCGCTGCCATGAGCGCTCGATCCGTTGTGAATGGCGCCCACAATGGGAGAGGATATCCGCGCGTATTAGCAGGTTCACCGGATGCTAAACTAGTAGGCATCCATACTAGCTCCGAGAAGCGTAGCAGTTTCAAGAGTAGCAGCGGGAATCCCGTAAGCTCTGCGTCGAAACCGCCGTCAAACGCGCCGAATTTCTTCAAGCCCCGGAACGTAGAGGAGAACTTCACGGAAAAACTGCCGCCAGAGCCGTCGTTACCCACGGCGACGAGCGCCGCGCGATCCAGGGAGACCATCTCGCTCCTCTACACTGAACTGCTGAAACGCGCGCAGTCGCCGCCGCCGGGGCCGCCGCTGCCGCCGCTCGCGGCTCCGCGGCCCGGTCCGACCAAGAAGAGTCCTAAGCTTGGCAGCAGATTAATCAGCGTTATGATCAGAGCGTCCCCGCCACCTAAGAAGAAGTCGCCCGCGCCGCCGAAGAAACCGGCGAATCATCCGCCGAAGATCCCCACGAAAAGTTCTGCAAGCGCCTCGGATACCTCCCCGCCCAAGCGCGGCGTTTCTCCGCCCAAGCGCGGGGTTTCCCCGCCGAAGCGGGGGATTTCCCCCCCGATAAAGCGCTCGCCGATCCTCCCCAAGAGGCGCCCCCCTCCCCCCCACTCCTCCTCCCCGCCTAAGCGCAAATCCCCCAAGCACCCGCCCCCCGCTAAGAAATCCCCCCATAAGCGGTCCCCCCCGAAGTCCCCCCCGCCTGTTTCTCCCCCCAAGCGGCGCAAGCCGTCTTCTGCGCAGAAGTATCCGCCTCCGCCGAGTCCCCCTCCGCCGTCTCCGCCCACGGGGAGCGGCGGAGTGGACCTGGGGAACGCGCAGAAGGTGCTGAAGATGCTACAGCCGTACTTCGACGACCCGCAGTTCATGATGTTCGCGATCAACGGAGGTGAGGCTTTCGGGGGCATTATAGAATGTACAGGGCTTCCCAGAAGGATCCCCAAGCGGAGGGGCTAAAGATGCTACAGCCGTATTTCGACGACCCGCAGTTCATGATGTTCGCGATCAATGGAGGTGAGGCAATTGAGGCTTTATAGAACTATTATCAGACTTGCAAGGATATTGTGAGCCGCTTGAACCGCCCAGCCCATAAGGGAGGTGCTGAAGATGTTACAGCCGTATTTCGAAGACAGGCAGCTTATGATGTTCGCGATCAACGGAGGTAAGGCTTTTGGGGGCCACCATAAAGCTTTTGAGGACTTGCAGGATTCCGTAAGGTGCTTGAACTGTCCCGTACTGGAGGTGCTGGCGGCACCATCAAGGACCTGCCCAACGATTCGCCCCTTCCGTTGCCCCCTCCCATGCCCCTCCCATGCCCCTCCCATGCCCCTCCCATGCCCCTCCCATGCCCCTCCCTGTCCCTTCCAGGCCTCCTCACCCTCCTCGGCAAGGCACTCAATTCCACGGAGAAAGTAACGTTCTTCGTGCCCGACCCCGACACCATCAGGACCTGCGTGCCGCTTCGCTGCTCATCACCCACCCTGCCACTGCCCCCTGTCATCAACACACACCACCAGGTCTCCTCACTCTCATGGGCAAGGCGCTCAACTCAGCGGAGATGGTCACGTTCTTCGTGCCCGACCCCGAAACCATCAGGACCTGCCCGACGACTCGCCTCTCATCAACGACCCCCTCCCATCCCCTCACCCGCCATCCCCTCCCATGCCCCAGGTCTCCTCACACTGATGGGGAAGGCCCTAAACTCAACTGAGAAGGTCACCTTCTTCGTGCCCGATCCAGACACCATTAAGGACCTGCCTGAGTACCACTCATCCCCCCCATCTTCCCTATTGCGCCCCATCTCCCCCAGGTCTCCTTACTCTCATGGGTAAAGTGCTCAATTCCACCGAGAAAGTGACGTTCTTCTTGCCCGACCCAGACACCATCAAGGACCTGCCTGACGACTCACCATTCCCACTGCCCCCTCTTGTGGTTCCAGGTCTCCTCACTCTCATGGGGAAAGCACTCAACTCGACAGAAAAAGTCACCTTCTTCGTGCCTGATCCCGACACCATCAAGGACCTGCCTGACGATTCGCCGCTCATCAACGACCCAGCAATCGCCACAGCAGTGGTCAACTTGCATGTGGTGCGGGGTAGGCAGGTCTCCTACACGGAGTTAACTCAAGATGCGACAGGGACCATGGTGAGTGGGGGGCTGGGGGCACGGGAGAGGGGGGGGGGGAAGGGTGAAGGATGCAGCGAGCTTTCTCTTCAACGTGGTGCTGCGGCCGACCAGGGGGGCCTCCCTTTCTCATACTCTCATGCCCTCATGCTCGCCCTCCCCTTATCGCAGCCACGCCTTTATCCCCTGTCCCTACCCCTCTCCTTCTCCTTTCCTCCAGTACATGACAGACCAGCACGAGCCCCTAGCGAGCTTTCTCTTCAACGTGGTGCTGCAGCCAATCAGAGGGCCCTCGCACCTTTCCTTCTCATTGCCCACCCCCACATTATCCCTCGCTCTCTCCCTCTGTTTCCCCTCCAGTACATGACGGATCAGCACGAGCCTCTGGTGAAGGACGCAGCAAGCTTCCTTTTCAACGTGGTGCTGCGGCCGAGCCAAGGGCCCTCGCGCGCCACCATCACCATGCCCAACGCGTACACGGACGAGAGCATGCAGGTGAGGGAGGGAGGGGGCATGGGAGGGCTATGGATGGCATGGGAGGGCTATGGATGGCATGGGAGGGCTATGGATGGCATGGGACACAAACGAGTGCGCACATGCCAAGGACCGACTTTCCTGGCGCTGCTGTGGCCGACCAGGGGGCCTTCCCCTTGTCACCATCGCCATGCCCATCGCATACACGGACGAGAGCATGCAGGTTGAGAGCTATGGGTTGAAGGCTATTGGGCAGATGTGAGTGCATGTAGGTCTAGGGCCCTCCCGCACCACCATCACCATGCCCATCGCATACACGGACGAGAGCATGCAGGTGGGTAGCGCATGCCATCAAGCACACATGGGTGCACACGTCCGAGGGGCCCACTGTGGCCGCTCCCACTGCATACACACGTCTGACACTCCCCACTCGCCCTCGCTGCCCTATTCCACGCACATCCGTGCACTACCACCCTCTACCGCACCCCACCCTACGCCACCCCGCCCCACCTGACCCCAACCCAACGAACCCCACCCCACCTGCCAGGTGCACGTGCTCGACTCGCTGCTCATCCCAGACTCGGTCTACTTCGCCCCTCCATCAACCCCTCTTCCAAACCCTCCCTCGCCATCCTCTTCAGCATCCCCTCTCCCACCAACCCCACCACCAACCCCTCCCACGACAACCCAGCCGCCACCACCAGTCGCAGCAGAGAAGCAGAACCCCACCGTGGCAACAGCAGCAACCCCTCCTCCGTCCAGTTCAGATCCCAACACCACGGTGCCACCACCGTCCCGGTGATTTTTGAGACGGCTCGAAGGACAGCAGGGAAGTCGCCACCGACCATGCCCACAGGAACCCCTCCTCCAACACCTCCTCCAACACTTCCTCCGTCCGGTTCAGATCCCAACACCACGGTGCCACCACCACCTGCGCAGTGACTCTTGAGGTGCTGCTCAGGGCAGCAGAGAAGCTCCCCTCACACGTGGCAACAGCTCCAACCCCTCCTCCGTCCAGTTCAGATCCCAGCACCGTGGTGCCACCACCACCACCTGCGCAGTGACTCTTGAGATGTCTCTGAAGGCCCCCTCTGCACGGTGACTCTTGAGTCGACTCATAAGGCAGCAATGAAGCAGCTCCCACTTGCCCGCGCTCACAGCAGCATACGATTTTCTTGTTCTCTGGACACATCTGCTTCCCATTCTTCGGCTTCCTTCTGGAGATTATTCGGCCCCTGGTCACTGCCATGGCTGTGTAACTCAAGTGCTAGTTTCCCTTAAGTCACGGGGCGTGCCACTTTCCTTGTAGCACGTAGTGGCCTAGTTCAATGTATAGTGCTTTGTTATAAACAGATGCAACAGCCATCTCACTGACAAGTACACACTTTTGTAGAGATGTCACAGTTGTACCTGAAATAATTACTATCAGTCTAATACTCACAACAGTTGGCCTGCTGCTACATCGTCAACGATGCAATATCCACATTATGGATTGTCCATACCAGGATTGGGTGTGTCGTACTGAACAAACTCTTGAACAAACAATATTAAATGAACGTAAGAGCAGCCTTCGCTAGGACAAGATGCCAAGGACCTATGGCTGACAGCGCTAGGCGTGCAAACGTTGTGATGCATGGCAATTGAAGAAGATGGAATTCGTCTGGGCTTATGCTACAAACTCCACCACATCCCTGCTATCTGAAGACAAGAAGGCTGGCTGGGCTTTATGCTATTGGCTACAAGTACAATCAACCACTTCATAATGGTACAGAACACAAGTTATGGTGCTAATTTTGTTCAACGAATCCAGGCCTGGTTTGCGAAAGAAACGGGAAGAATCCTGAGCCTTTCACTTATCTCAGCCGTTCATATTTTGCGATTCCCGTCGCCCACTTCAGAATCCGTCATCGTGCATCCTCCAGCACCCACCTCCCGCGCCATCAATTTTGCTTCCCAAGCAATCTCAAGGCGCCTCGACGTTTGCGAATCGGTTACACATTGATGGCCGGATGCGGCTCGGAATGAAAAGCGGGGCATGGCAAATTCGACAATCCCCTCCCCCTCATTTCCCCAGCCGAACAGCCGACATCCCACAATTTGCTATCGATGGCATGAATTTCCTCGCTCCCCCAACATCCCTCCCTCGTTTTCGCACCCATCAACCGCCTACCCAATGTAACCGTGAATACTCCCTACTGCCTTATGCAAAGCCTGTTACTAATCAGCTTCCTCGCCATAGTTGACCCGTCAGCTTCAGTATCGCCCTGCTCACGCATCGCCGACCGACATTGGCGTGCAATCACCGCGCATCCCTGTCAAAACGGATGTGGCACCCGACTCTACTGTTTTAGATCCAGGCGTATAATACTTCCGCTCACTCGCTGCTACCTTGCCAAATTCCTTTCGAGTACATCTTATTCCTCGATCCTTTTGTAACTACGCCGCTTCATTCACACTTCGAGCTTGAGTCCCCTTTAGCTCCTCACGGCTAGGCCGAAATAGTCAAATATTTGGCACGAATCATTGTCAGAGTTGCTTATAGATCTCCGTTGTTGATCTGACCATGGCGGGCCGAAGGTCGGTGGTCCTGGCCTCCGTTCTCTGCATAGTTATATTTCTCGCTATATGCACGCCAGCTCCTGCACTCGGTAAAGCGAAAAAGCTTTCGACTAAGACCACGGCAAAATCTGCCACCCGACCCGCCGCATCTCCAGCAAAGAAACCGCGGCTAGTTAGGGGAGAATCTGCGGGTGAGGCAGTCGCAGGGGCGAAAACAGTCGCAGCGAAGTCCTCATCGTCGTCGTCGTCAGTGAAATCCGCCGGAAAAAAGGCTGCGACGTCGGCGAAATCTTCTGCAAAATCTGCAAATTCGGCTGCGACGAAGCAAGTGAAGTCGACTACGGCGCAAACTAGCCAATCCGCGAAGAAGACTGTAACGAAAGTGACGAAACCGAAATCGCTGCCGCCGTCGACCAAGTCTCGGCCCAAGCCCCCGAAAACCCCGAAGAAGAAAGTTACCTCTCCGTCAACGAAGCATCCATCATCGCTAGCGACGACGAAAACGCCAGTGAAAGTGCCCGCGAAATCTCCGGCGAAGGAGAATGTTTCGCCACCTAAGAAAATCCCGTCGCCTCCGAAAGTGAGCCCGTCGCCGACCAAGAAAAACTCGCCGACGACAAACCCACCAGCGAAGGAGCAAACTCCGTCTCCGTCGCCGTCAAATCCACCACCCAAATCACCGTCGAAATCGCCGACAAATTCACCGTCAAAATCGCCGTCAAAATCACCGTCCAAATCGCCGGCCACCACCGAAACGAAGAAAAAGGGGAAGCTCCGCGAGAAGCTGTTCGGGAAAAAGAAGAACACCACCTCAACCTCCTCCTCCACCGTTCCCAAACCCAAGTTCATGGTCAATCTTGCGGAAGCGCAAAAGGTGTTCAACCTCGTGCAAGGCCTGAGCAAGCAGCAGCAGTTCGTGAAATACATCAGCAATGCGGGACTTCTCTCGGTGCTGCTAGAGTCGATTACGAAGGGGAATGGCGCCGGCGCGACGTTCCTCGTGCCGTCCCCCGACGCGCTGCAGTCGCTACCGCCCGCGTCGCCGTATTTTAATAACCCGTCGCTCGCGCGGACGACGCTCCGGTACCACATGATATTGGGGAAGCAAATGGACTACACGGCGCTCGTCGAGCGACCCGCGGACACCGGCGTGAGTATAAAGAGCGGGTTGTGGGTGTGTCCAGATACGGGAGGGAAGGAGGGGGGGATGGGCCGGGAAACAGGGGGGGAATCACACGATCCCTATTCTACACGTAGCCCAGAGTTCAGGGAAGAGGGTTGGGGCGAAGGAGGGGACAGGGGGGAAGGGAAAGCCCGGGGGCAAGCAGATGGATTAGACGGTGCAAGCAGCTCATGAGAGTTCAAGTGAGACGAGGGTGTTTTCTTCACACTGGCCTTCCGCTCCTCATGCTCCCCATATGCCTTACCCTCTCCCTCAATCCCTTCCTTCCCAACCAGTTCCCCACGCTCGCCGAGAATTCGGTGTGCAAGTCGGACGAGAGCGCATTCTTTACGGTCAATTTCCGCACCTCACATGCACCACTGCATGCCCTCTCCCACCCCCCCCCTTGCGCAGTTCCCCACGCTCGCCAAGGAGTCGGTCTTCAAGTCGGACGAGAGTGCATTCTTCACAGTCGTCTTCTGCCCCTCGTGTGTGCATTCATCCCCTTCCCATACCCTCACCCAACCCCAAATCCCTCACGCCCTGCTCCCGACCAGTTCCCCACGCTCGCCAAGGAGTCGGTCTTCAAGTCGGACGAGAGCGCATTCTTCACAGTCGTCTTCCGCTCGGGTAGCGGTCGCTCCACGTCCACTCTACTCGCACCCAACCTCGCCAAGACAGAGTTTTTCCAGGTGTGCACATCTCATTGCCTCGCCTCTCCCCTTGCACACTTGCACACTGACCACCATTGCACTGCATTGCAAGGTCGTGTGTCATCCTCATTGTCAGCTTCACTCCATGCCCAACTGGCCACCTGTTGTGACCGCTTGTGATTTCCAGGTGCGCCCTCGTGGACTCGCTCCTTTTGCCATCCGGTCCGGGCGCCATCCTGACAAAGGAGATGAGGCACCGTGCCCGACGATGGTGTCACATCGCCCTTCTCATCTTCATTCCATGCCCGACTGACCACCCCTGCTCTCCGCACCTGTACTCTCCACTCTCTGTTTCCAGGTGCACCTCGTGGGCTCGCTCCTTGTACCAGACGCCATCCTGCACTCCGTGGTTCTGCTGCTGGTGGGGTTTTTGAGTGACCAAAACAAACCTCTTAACCCGTGCTCTCCCCACACTCTGTGTGTGTTTCCAGGTGCACCTCGTGGACTCGCTCCTCGTGCCAGACGCCATCCTGCACTCCATGCCCGGTGGCGGTGACGGTGATGCTGCTGGTGGGAGCGACGGGAGTGATGGCACTGGGAGTGATGACACCGGAGGGAGTGGTGGGAGCGATGCAAGTGGTGGTACTGGGAGTGGCGGTAGTGGGAGCGGTGCGAGCGGAGGTGGTGGTGGCACCGGAAATGATGCTGGTGGGAGCACCAGTAGTGGCAACTCTACCGATGCTGCCAGTGTCTCTCCTCCTCCTCCTTCGGTTCCCTCTCCTTCAGTTCCATCTCCTTCCGTTTCTTCACCTCCCCTCAACCCATCGCCTCCTCCTACCACTGTCCCCTCGTCTCCTCCCGTCAACCCCTCACCTCCTCCCCCTAGCCCTTCCCCTCTTCCTGAATCCCCCCCTCCTCCTCCTGTCTCTTCGCCTCCCACCCTTGACTCTTCCTCCCCAGCCACTCCTACCGAGACCACTCCAGCCACATCCCCGCCACCCTCTCCCTCCCCTCCCCCTCCTACCAGCGAATCAGCCTCATCCGCAACACCACCACCGCCCTGAATCTCCTCCCACACCCCCCCACCCTCCTCGTCCTGTCTCTTCGCCTCCCACCACTGACTCCTCCTTACCATCCTCTCCTACTGAGGCCACTCCAGCCACAACCCCTCCCTCCTCCCCTCCTCCTTGCCTCCCCCTCCCACAGCCCCAGTTTCGGGAAGTTCGACGTATATTCTTTAGAATAATGCCAACGGCTGACTGGCCAGAATGGCATGCTGTTACGTAAACTAGGATAAAGTCATACTGCCATATTGTTGTGAATGTACATCAAGTATACATGCATTAAAGGTTGCATCCAGCACAAACATGAAGCATGAAACGTCAGCAGCACATACCACTACTCGCTTGTGTCTTCAAAAGAGACATGAAATGACAGGGTGGATTCAAAGGATCTGCCCTGCCCGCTGTCCATATGTGTGGTGGTGGTTGTGGTACTAAAAGAAAACTTGATCTTGTTCTTCGCAGCACCTAGCAGAGTGTACGTCAGTGCTCATTCAAACCTTATGGTTCCTGCGCGAACAACCTTACCAAACCCTTCATGTCACACATGTGCAGCAAGTCTTTAAGGCTGTGCAGTGGCCGATCTCGACAGCATACGGTATTCCACAAACATTGGTGCGTACTGTTAGAATTTGAAATGATTGAGTAGGATCGTCATACTTAGGATGGTAGCTTCCTGTCGTAGCGGAAGTCTTGTATGAGTTAAAGCCAGTTAAGGAGGCTTTGTCTGGACTAGTGAAAGCCCATGTAGTGATATGTTTCAGGATCAATGTCTCTGAAATCAGATATATTTAAAATGACAAACATACAGAATATATAGCTAGAGTAAAGTACCTTTTCGCCTATTGTACTGTGCTATTCTCGCTATTCCTGTTCTGAAACGGTACGTGACTATTCGCGAGGCCTATAGCTGCTTGCTGACGTCATCCTAGGGCGCGTAGCGCTTTGCTGACGTCAGCCTATCGGTACTTCACTGTACTACACAAATTTCCTTGAAGTGCTTAAGTCTCGATATTATCTCAACACTCCCCTTCACTTCTAGGAGTTCGGTGTAGTTACCCAGTTGTCTCAGAAATTCCGCTGAGCTGGTTGCAGTGGTGGAATTTCTGTCGTGTCAGCTTCTTGGTAAGTGAGTCAGCTGCCATGTCACTAGTGGGGCAGTAGACAAGGCGCATTCTCCCCTTGTCGTCTAGCCGATACATCACGGGATCATGCGGCAGTTGTCGGAACCCGACTTCTGTAAGTTTCCTGTTCAAATGCCGCTGCCACAGTCGCGGTGCTTGTTTGATGCCGTACAGTGACTGTCAAACATATGTTTATATATGTTATAGTTTGGGTAGGCTTAGTGGGGTACTTACTGTGGGGTACAACCCCTTAGGTTCTCACTTTGTACCAACCCCCTCGATAGTCGAAACCACCTTTTTCCCGTAAGATTCTAACATGGTATAGAGCATAGGGCCCACCACGATTGCCTGTCTTGTCTAGTGCCTACGCGCGCCTCGGCTGCCCGCGCGCGCCTCGAGCGGCCCCTTTTTTTTGTGTGTTTTTTTTTCCCACGTGCGCCGTCTCAGCAGCCCGCGTAGCCCGTTTCGGCCCCGCCTGTGCGCCCCTTAAGCCGCCCGCGCGAAACCTGATTAGGCCACGCCAGCGCGGCCCATCGCCCAGCGTAGCCCGTAGCTTAGCGACCAGCCCGCAGCCGCGCACGTGCGGCCCGTCGCCCAGCGCAGCCCGCAGCCGCACGTAGATTGCAGCCGCGCACGCTGCCTGTAGCCACGCACAGCCCGCAGCTGCAAGCAGCCCGCAGCTGCAAGCAGCCCGCAGCCCGCGCAGTCCGTCGCCGCACGTAGCCTGCGGCCGCGCGTGCTGCCCGTAGCCACGCGCAGCCTGCAGCCTCGTGCAGCAAGCCGCCACACACAGCCAGCAGCCTCACGCAGCCCTCAGGCCGCTCCTGCCTGCTGCTTGCTGCCGCCTGCCTGCTGCCTGCCTGCTGCTTGCTGCCTGCTGCCGCCTGCCTGCTTGCTATCTGCAGCCTGCCTACCTGCCTGCTTGCTGCCTGCTGCCGCCTGCCTGCAGCCTGCCTGCTGCCTGCCTGCTGCCTGCCTGCTGCTTGCTGCCTACAGCCTGCCTGCCTGCCTGCTTGCTGCCTGCTGCCGCCTGCCTGTAGCCTGCCTGCTGCCTGCCTGCTGCCTGCCTGCTACTTGCTGCCTGCTGCCGCCTGCCTGCCGCCTGCCTGCAGCCTGCCTGCTGCCTTCCTGCTGCCGCCTGCCTGCTTGCTGCCTGCAGCCTGCCTGCTTGCTGCCTGCTGCCGCCTGCCTGCTGCCTGCCTGCTGCTTGCTGCCTGCCTGCTACTTGCTGCCTGCTGCCGCCTGCCTGCCGCCTGCCTGCAGCCTGCCTGCTGCCTGCCTGCTGCCGCCTGCCTGCTTGCTGCCTGCAGCCTGCCTGCCTGCCTGCTTGCTGCCTGCTGCCGCCTGCCTGCAGCCTGCCTGCTGCCTGCCTGCTTCCTACCTGCTACTTGCTGCCTGCTGCCGCCTGCCTGCTTGCTGCCTGCTGCCGCCTGCCTGCCGCCTGCCTGCAGCCTGCCTGCTGCCTGCCTGCTGCCGCCTGCCTGCTTGCTGCCTCCAGCCTGCCTGCCTGCCTGCTTGCTGCCTGCTGCCGCCTGCTTGCAGCCTGCCTGCTGCCTGCCTGCTTCCTGCCTGCTACTTGCTGCCTGCTGCCACCTGCCTGCTTGCTGCCTGCTGCCGCCTGCCTGCCGCCTGCCTGCCGCCTGCCTGCCTGCCTGCTTGCTGCCTGCTGCCGCCTGCCTGCAGCTTGCCTGCTGCCTGCCTGCTGCTTGCTGCCCCTGCCTCCTGCCTCTGCCTCGTGCCTCCTACCTGGTGCCTGCTGCCTCTGCCTACTGCCTGCTGCCTGCTGCCTGCTGCCTCCTGCCTTAAGCCAATATGGCGACGCCCAACGTTCTAGCATTCGAGCCTGACGGTCGTCCCATCGAGTTCACTGTGTGGTTAGACGATCTACAGCTGTTCCTTCTGACTGATGCCAAAGAGGGCGTTTCCCTGTTTGATTACGTCTCTGGCACTGCCGTTACTCCTGCTGCTGATGCTCCTGCTCTAGAACGCTCCCAGTGGCAGACTCGTGATGCTGCTGCACGCCTAGCTATTAGGAACCACCTGCCGATTACTGAGCGAGCGCATTTCAGCCAGCACAGAACTGCTAAGACACTGTACGACGCTGTAGTTGCGCGCTACTCCTCCCCGGCCACTGCAGCCATAGGTCGACTCATGCTACCGTACCTGTTCCCCGAACTTTCCTCGTTCACCACTGCTGAGGACCTAGTTTCTCACCTGCGCGCTACTGACTCTCGCTTTCTTGCCGCCCTTTCAGCCGAGTTCTGCGCCGCAACCCCCCCCCCCCCCCCCCCCCCCCCCCCGATGTACTTCACTCTCTATTTCCTCGTCACCCGCCTCCCTGACACTCTTAGCTCTGTCAGGGACCACTTCCTAGCGCTAGACCCCACCACTCTCACTGTCGACGACTTCGAGAAGCACCTCCTCGCAGCAGAGAAGAACATCCTCGCTGTAGGTGCTGCTCGTGGCACTCCTCGCTCTCCCCTCTTTGAGGGGTGCTCCCCCTCCCCTCTCACCCCCTCCTACGCCTCCGCAGCTGCTGCTCACGACTACCTTGGTGCTGAGGGGGTCGGAGCTGCTTCCGCTCCTAGTAGGAAGCGTCGCAACGGCAGGGGCGGCAGGGGTGGCAGGGGCAGTGGGGGTGGCGGTGGAGGTGGCGGTGGTGCAGGCGGCGGGGGAGGTGGAGGTGGTGGGGGTGGTCGTGGGGGTGGAGGCGGTGGAGGTGGTGGTGGGGGCGGCGGAGGCACTGGGAGCGGTGGAGGGGGCAGCAGCGGCGGTGGGGGAGGAGGGAGCGGTAGTGGCATTGGTGGTCAGGGCCAGCAGCTGCCGCAGCAGCAGCAGCAGCATCAGCGTCAGCGCCAGACCCCCACTTCCCAGCAACTTCTTGACTGGTATGCCGGGCGTGGGTCTTCTGGGGGTCCTGGTCGCTGCCCCTATATCATCCGCACAGGTCCCCGCGCTGGTCGCCAGTGCACAGGTTTTCACACTGAGCAGCGCTGCTTCGCTCGGCTTAGCGACGCCTGGCGCGCCAAGTTTCCTGATGCTACTGAGTTCCCCAACTGGGCAGACTTACTTAGGCGTGATGTACCTATCTTTGATCTTGACTATGAGGCAATTCTTGCTGCTATGTATGCCTTGTCTGTTAGTGCTGAGGGTGACTGCTACTTGTGTGTGCCGCCGGATCCTGGTATAACCCCTGGTATAGCCCCTGCAGCACTAGGTGCTTGTGAGTCTGCTCCCCTTGGTACTGCGCCTGCACAGGCTTTGCACACCTTTACACTTGACTCTGGTGCTTCCCGCTGTTTCTTTCGCGACAGTACCACAGTCACTCCCCTCCCCGCACCTGTTCCTGTCTCACTGGCTGACCCCTCTGGGGGCCCAGTGCTTGCACGGTCTTCCACTGTGCTTCCGTGTCCGGCGGTCCCGTCTGGTGAGCTGTCTGGTCTCCACCTCCCCACGTTCTCTACGAACTTGGTGAGTAACGCTGTCCTCCAGGATGCGGGGGTTGACACCTTTACCCCTGGCCGGCAGCGTGTGACGATTTGCACGTGCTCCCAGACTGGTCGCCACCTGGCCACGTTTGCTCGTGCGCCGGGGTCCAGTCTGTACACCCTCACCACTGCGTCACGCTCCGCCCCTTTGTCTCCTAAGTTGCACGCGTCTGCTCAGGTACGTACACAGTGTGAGTGTCGCCGGCTGTCGCACGACACTCTCCTGTGGCACCACCGCCTTGGTCACCCCTCCCTGCCTCGCCTACGCAGCATGCACTCCCGCTTCCTGGTTTCTGGTCTTCCCAGGTCTCTGCCTCCCCTCCCTCCCTCGCCTGCGCCGCCCTGCCTTCCCTGCGTCGAGGGGCGGCAGCGCGCCGCTCCTCACTCCTCC